CTGTTGCCCTTCCACTCTCTCCAATTTTTTTAGTCATCTGCGTATAGGACCATAGGGGAGTCGGTGAGCAGAGATAACTCATTGATATACAAAATATATAGGAGGGGTCCGAGTACCGTGCCTTGTGGCACTCCGCTGCGCACTGCTGTCCAAGAGAAGAATTTCGAGTTGATCTCGACCCTCTGCCTCCTATCTACGAGGAATTCCCTGATACAGTTTAGTAAGCTGCCTTTGATACCAATACTTTCCAACTTCATGAGTAGTCTTTTGTGGGGTACTTTATCAAAGGCTTTGCTGAAGTCTATGAAGACGACGTCAACGGGTCTTCTCTTGTCCCTGGATTTGACCCAGCTTTCTCTTGCAGTGAGAAGATTTGACAGGCATGAGGGATCCCTTCGGAAGCCATGCTGTGCTCTTGATAATAAGCTTCTATTTTCTAGATATGCCATTATGCTTTTCTTGATGATCCTTTCCAGTGTCTTTATTAAAGTGCTGGTGATACTGATAGGCCTGTAATTTGAAGGGCTTTGTCCATGGAATCGCAGCATTGCATCAATTAAATCGTCCCCCAAACTCAAGGCCACTTGAAACTCATAGCAACTTAGCGACGGACATCGTAGCGGGGATATGCACTAAAGCCACTCTATTTTGACCGTTTAGAGTTTGTTTTGTTACTCAAATTAATGACCCTCACTGTAGGTCACACATGGCGGTAACGGTACTCGTGCCTCGATGGCTCAGAAAACTCAGGATGTGAGCCACACTGTGGGTGACCCTTCTATCGTAAACAAGGGTTTAAAAATTCTCAATGGACTGAAGAAGATTAGTTTTTCATCGGAACATGCGTATGCACATCAAAATCAATCACTTGATATTTTAGGCTGACTGCTGCAATATTTACTGGCTTTCGGTCTATTCGTTCAGCTGCTGAATGGTAAAATAAACCAGAAATTTCTGTTATATTTAGGGTTGCATCTCATGCAAGGGATCCCTTGCTGTTTACGGATTTCGAAGTGGACTTCCATGTACATATGAGCATAGACAGGAAGTTCGAATCTGATGTCCAGTCATTCCTGTCGGCTGCACGGAGTTATATAGGATGGTCATACGTTTTTGACCGTCCAGCTCATGTTCCAATACTTCATCTGAGAGTAAGTGAATTATTTATGAGTAATTTTCAGGTGAAACATCAAGATGCATTGGTTCTGGAATCCATTTTTGTTAAAACATTCAATCTTTTTAATACTAATCCCCCTACTGATGTTAAGATAACATTTGAATTGCTGGTAGATACTGAAGCCTCTGTCGTTTTTAGATTCGCAGAACCTAAAGTATATGCTCTGCTACAACAGCTCTCAGAAGCGTTCATCGAAAACCTGTCAAAAGGTGAGAAACTGTATTTTAAGTTCTGGTTAAACGTGATATAAATTTGGGTTAATATGTATATTAACTTCGAGGTGTTACTAACTGTTCATGGTCTTTTTAAAATGGGTTTTTGTGCTGTTCTCATTCAGATTGCGCAATACCTCTGCGTTGATTTGTGTACTTTGTTTTGGTGTAGTCCACCTGAAATATGTTGCACACGGTAACTATGCACTTATAGACCTTGTTTTTCTTTCTTTGTGTGCATATGGTAATTTTCATGTATATATCCTGTTATTAATCCTTCAGCTTGATTCTGTATTTATTATTCCTTCATCCTTCTTGATATCTTGGCATCCTTTTTTTCCTCATCACGCCACTTTTTCAGTTAAGTTTATTTTTATTTATTTATTTATTTATTATAGCTTGATTCCACACAGTATTTTTGGTACAAGTATGGAATTTTCAGCATGTGATATCGGTAGCCCAAATGTAGCAGGCCGACCATGGATATCGGGTGTGCGCCGGCAGGGGATCGAACCCCGGACCAAGTGCTTGGTCGGCGGGAGTCATTACTACTGGTTGAAATATAATTGAGATTTTTAAAGCAATGATCGTCTCTTCATGGCTTGTAACTGCAGATATTGAATTTATTTGTCTTGCCACAAATTTTCGGTTGTCACAAACGTGCTATCTCTAATGGATGAACAGCTTGTGCTAATAGTGTATTACTGCAGGTGTACGAATTACGAGTACCAACTACAGAAATAATTTGACTGACGAAATAGTTTCTAGTCATGCCTAAGCTGTGTAACTCCAGTGGTTTAAAGATTATGTCATGAACAATTGTGATACAACCCTGTAGACTCCTTAACAGAAGTGAATTGATTTCAGGTTTAATACGATGACGAATCGACTTTAGGTGGTAGCAGAAATCACCTGTATTAAGTGATGGTGAGTTAGTGCAATGTGGGTCTTCACATGTGCTACACAAGTGTTATCAATTAGATAGTTTCAAATAAAGCGTGTATAATCTGCTTCCTCTGACTAATTTTGCATGTCATCTTCACGAATTCTTTGCGATAGCAATTTTACATCACTTTTCTTTGTCAGTATAAAGAGTTTAAAGTGAGATGTATAAGAATTCAATCACTCAGTCATGTCTTTCCTCAAGTCTTATTAATTTTTGTTTTTAAAAATATTTTAATTGTCTAGTTGACTTAAGTTTTGAGGTGGTTTCCAACTCGTGCAAATCAAATAATCTATTCACACTAGTCAGCAGTATTAAATCTTGTGATGAAACGAATCTGATTTTAAAGCAACTTAAAGAAGCTTATTTATCTAATCATTATTGTATCAATGATGCTAATCGCCAAATCAAATTCTGCTTATATTCACACGATCCCCGTTTGAGAGATTCAAATTTAGAGGTAGGTAGTTTCTTTGTGTTTTGTTTTATTGAATATTTTTCGTAACTACTAGGCACAACGAACTTGTTGCCTAAAATAGAAAGTAAGGGTTTGCAGTGTGGCAGTTGTAAGAACAATTCTTCCCTGTAGTTTTATCACTCGAGGAAATTTGGTTAACATGATGGTTATTTTCTTAATCTGCGTAATCCACTCAATATTTTTATGGGAATAACCTTGATTTTAGAAATAGCATTCAACTGTAGAACAGAGTTAATCGCTGGACTACATCCTAATTCACAGTTCATATTGTCTTATCGAGCGAATATGTAAGCATAAAAACGGGTGGAGGTACTAGCCGATATTTGGTACTAAAGTACTAAGGTACTAAGCAGCGTCTGATATGCGATTCACTCCCGCCAAATGTAAGATGATGCTACAGCATTGGACTGGACTACATTAACTCCTACCTTAAATATAAGGAGTAAAGTGGTAGAGCGTGTTGACCACTTCACTTATTTGGGAAGTTGCATCAGTCAGCGCCAACGGGTTGGTCGCTGACGAAATCTCAGCACGGATACAGAAGGCTCGTTTCACATATGCCAGTTTACGCCGTCTCTGACGTAGACGTGATATTCGGCTGGCTGTCGACTAAAGGGCGGGTGTACTGTTCAGCAGTCCTCTCCGTCCTCCTTTATGGCTGAGAATAGAAGACATAAAAAGACTAACTGTCTTTGATCATAGGTGCCTGCGTTCTATCTCCCGTGTGAAGTGGTATAGCGCCATTGAGAACGACTTAGAACCATATCACCGATTGTCTTCAGCCACTGGTTTTTACTGTCCCGAGGACACCAACCATGAAGTCTACACCTCCCTACTTGACTGGTTTTAGCTAACTGTTGTGGATTTCATTGATTGATGAAGCCATGTTTTGCTTTGACCACCACTGGCTCTTTTCTAACCTAACCCTATGCCAGCTAACATTGCCTGTCGGTCGAGGAAGGTGATGGTCAGGCTAGGCATGTGTAACACATATCCTAACCATCCCAGTCGATGTAATTTTACAGCCTCGTCGATTGATTTCCCCTCCTTACCTAGTACTCGACCGTTGCCTAACCTCAGTATTGCTTACCCTACTATACCACTTAATACACACGGGAGATAGAACACAGGCACCTATGATCGAAGGCAGCTAGTCTTTTCATGTCTTCCACTCTCAAATGACCAGGTCTCACAGCCATAAAGGAGCACGAAGTGGACTACTGAACAGTACATGCACAGCTATCATGTCCGATGCAAAAGTCAACATTTCATTACAGTTAATCAAATTTACACAATTCGAGGTGATTATCTCACCTCATTTTTCTTTGAAAACCAAAAGTATGCAGACCGCAATATGTGATCTGCTTGCTACCAAAAGTAGTTATCAAGAAATCAAGGCTAAATGCATCACATTATATACTACAGATTTATTGAGACAAGTAGTTGTGTGTCACTCACATCATGTAGTAGTACTGTTTGCTAGGCAGATCGAAGTGATCTGCACACTCGCTCCTTTGACGTCTACCTCCTCATAGGTGTGTACTCAGTGTTACTCAACTCAGAAAGTCAAGCCACTTCTATCCGCCCGATTGCAGTCATATGGGTGAGTCATCTGTGAAGGAACTGATGAAGGAATCATAATCCTATTTAAAATATCTACCGGCAAATAGGAAATGTTAGTCGTCCTATAAAATATTCACACGATCTGTGTGTGTGTGTATTTTACATTTCAATAACCTTCATACAATTGCTTAAATCTAAGTAATTTTTATGGTAGTCTGTAAACTGATATTCATTTATTACCTGTTGTATGTCATTTATCAACTCTAATTATAAAAGTTGTATATTTTGGGGAGGTGTGTGTGCACTAATTCCTTTTTTGTTTTCGTCTATTATTATTACTATTTTACTCCTTATAAAGGTATATGAAATGTTAACAAATGTAGAACCGGATATACTTGCCTATAATGACAATGATTGTACTACAAAAGTGGACGAACAGAGTGTAGAACAATTCTATAGTGGCAAAATACTAAATAATACTATGACTAAGAGTAATAGCAGTGGACTAACCTATTGTGATAATACTAGCAATAATATATCTGATAATTCAACTACAAACAATTCATCACAGGAATATCATCATAAACACCTGTCACACTATGCTGGTGATTACATTCTATTAGTTGACTCTGTGTGTTTAAAAGAACGACTAGGTTGTCCGTATGGAATCAATCTGTCTACTGGTGAATCTGGTCTGTTCAATCTATCAGCTGGTAGACGTGTACCACAGAGTCAAACATGGACATTACACTGGTAAATTTTGGATGCTTATTCTTTTCTTTTTAAAAGCATAGTACTTCTGTGTGTTTTGTTTTTATAAATTATGCACATTTTGTCTTGGCACTCGATTTCTAACCAGTGAGTTGTGAGTTTGGACCTCGTCCCGCCTACTGAGGTTTGGTCAGCCAGGTATAACATCGTTAGCCTTCACACAACAGGTGTGTGGCTCATTGTCAACCTAAGTCCAAGGCTTCCTGCCGATTGCCTCCAACCATCTAATATCATCACAAACAATGTACACCGTGATGGCGAGCTACCTAGAATGGTGGCCACATTACAACCTGACTGATAGAATTCAGTCTGCACCAAAGAGAGGACTAGACGCATCACACTAGTTACTAGTATCCAATCAAACTACCCACTACAGTCCTACAGGAAGTCAGTCGCGAGCCCGAATAGCTCAGTGGTAACGTCTCTGACTGCAGCACTGGGTGACGCGGTTTCGAATCTCAGAAGAGACATGAGTTCCTTCAAGTTTGCAGGTACGCCTTGCTGACGAGTGCCAACTAGCACGAAACCTAGGTCCAAGGCTTCCTACCGATTGCCTCCAACCATCTAATATCATTGTCAACTGCATGGGATAGCAGATGGTTTCTGAGTAGTATTCACTCAATCAGTTTTTCGAGTAAAAAAACGTGGTATACACTCATTTGAAGGGGATCGTCTCACCCAATTGGGGATGCTCTTACATATTTGTATTTAATTCAGATCTTTAAGCCTTCTCTTATGTTTCATAATCAGTAAAATCTGCTGTTTTGTAAAATGAAGCCTTAAAATTAGGAGAATTCTTCTGGGAAATATGAATAGCCTTGAAGGAGATGAATAATAGACCCTGAAGAAGTAAGCAGTATTACTTAACTGCTGGAATATTGACTGAAAAACGATTGGTATCCACCTGCGAGTAGTACTCAAGTCGGTTAACTAGTGTTCCTTTGCCTTCGATCAGTACTTTGTCATCATCAAAGTTTTGGGGACACTAGTTAATGTGTTGCTTTATACTTTGATTAATGCTGACTTTAATTTTGTTTTTCTTTTGGTCATATGGATACTTGTAAAGCTTCAGAATTGTCTGGATCTATTAAGCAATATTTTTCGAATGTAGAGAAAAGCCATTTGAAATAATTGTGTTGCAATACTCTGTGACTGTAAAAAAAACGTGTGGACATGGTGTCGAATTCTGAATTTTCGTATTACACAGTTTTACCACGGTTTCCATTGGGAACCGAATTTATTCAGGTAATAATAGGTAGTCTATTTGGTGCCATAAATGGTAGTGAGAGAAGTCAGTATCAATCTATGATAATATACACTACTGATTGGTTCAAATGAATAGTGAGATATCGCTCACATCAGCCAGTAGGACTTGATAGACATCCAAATCGAAATGGTCAAAACACCCACATGGTTAGCAGGTACCACTAGTTAATGCGAGTGCTACTCAACTACTCACATCAGTCAGTCAGTAGGATTAAATACCAAAACGCATACATCTCATATTAATTCAAACAAAATTCTTATTATTAATGGATGGAATCAATGTTCATTTTAAGTCACTTGGTCAATGGTGTGGAGGACACGCGTGTCTTGGCTTGCTTTGTGCTTGCACCTTCTAGGAGTGATGGTGACATTACTGGAGCGTCTGTACTGAGAGCTGGGCATGTTAACACACACAGACCGAGTATTTCACTTCACTTAAATCAATCACCGCAAAATTCAAAATAATAATTGAAAGTTGTTAAAACATACAAACAAACAACAGAGTTGATTTATATATATCATAGTGGAAAGTTCAGGAGGGTGGGGGTGAATAATGAAGTAGAATTATAAAATAGATAAAATAATTTAATTTAGTAGTAGATTTGAAACCTTAATAGTGAGTTCAACTCAGTCAGTGAGTGAAAATCAGAAATCAAGATTTAGTGAAATGTCATGCCATGTGATTAGTCACACTATCTTTCTGTATGCAAAGGTTGGAACGAAGTCTTTTGATGGCGATGACTTCTACGAATCGAAGTAACCGTGCATTTCTTTGTGTATTGATTGATTATTTTGCAAACCTGACTAATTTCCACTGTATGTCCTGTGTGAATTAGGTGTCTAGCGATTGCTCTTGAGAACATTTTTCTGCCTTTCATACGGAGACTTTTAGGGATGTGCTCGGAGAATCTAGTAGACACTCTCCTCTCACCTTTTATATTTACTCATGATGTCCATTTAATAACCATCACAACAATTTTACTCTATTTTTTATTTTTAGTTCTGTCCCTGTAAAATTATCGTCACCAATGGAATCATCTGTTGGACGCATTTGCACAGTAAGTAAAGTACATTGTCTTTTTTTAAGTGAATTCTTGCCTTAATTGATATGCTTCCATTGGTTTAGGCTGTCGACTTTAAAGCCGCGGAGTTCTGATTTCAAATCTCACTTTGCCCTACTTTAGCCTGGAAAACTCAGTGTGATCATCTTTCTCTCTCACCTGGGCATAGCTTTGGTTTATGGAAAATCTGTTAAGGACAGTTGATTTCTGATTGGCTATTTTTTCCCTAGTTTATATTTCAGATCACAAACAAATTAGATTTGCTTTCAAGGAAATTCGGTTAATTTCAAGGTAGTTCATAAAAAGACCTCAGTTAAGGGACCACTAAAAGTCAGCGATGCACTTGATGGCTGTTTTGTCGTAGTTTACCACTTCTCGGCAGTACGCATCTGCAACCCACCTCACACGCGGGGAATCGAACCGAAGACCTTCAGGTTATCACTATGGTTGGTAACATTGGATAACATTGGAATCTAAGACACCTGTTTCTTCCTATTTTGAGACTCGTCAACTGGATGTAGCTGTGTGTGTCTGTGTGCCAGTGAATGACAGAGAGAAACCTGGAATCTAGCACCAAGGTGTTATCCACTGGAGCATGATAACCACTTCTTGTTCAACGCGTGTCTGAATAGAAATGCTCTCGACTAGATTTGGAATCTTCATATGCTTAATCCTCTTTATGAATTTTAATAAAGCAAGAACAATGATTATTAAGTTTATGTACAGAAAATAAACGCCTAGATACAGTGACAAAGGAGTTGTGTAACAAAGATAAGAGGTAACGATAAGGCAATGAGTAACTGATAAGTTGAGTAACAATGTGGTGGGTTCAGCTCAAATCATAGAAACAAGAGACAAGCATAGTTAGACAATGGTATAGAGGGCAGGGGTTAGCGCCAAAGATTCGTTTGAATGCTATTCACACCTGAATCCATGAAAAACAAAAGATTCACTGTCCAGTCATTTTTCACCGCTTACAAAAGAAGACGTACACAGAGAACATTGATCAGCCTAATCAGAATGTGAATATTTCAATCGTGTTATCCTTTGTGATAAAATAATTTATCGTGGATTGGCAGAAGTTGAAATCCATGACTCATTGGGTTGGGTCCCAATGGTTGAATGGCCTACGAGCTCGCCCTGTAAGCTGAAGGCCCAAGGTGTTCGAAGCCCGATGGGTAGGTGCGTACTGATGAAGAGTCTTGAAATAGGACAAAACAGCCGTCCAGAACTCACGGATTTTCCAATCTTTCTCTAATTGATGTTAACCCGTGATCAAACCTATAAATTTATTGTTTAAAAGCTTCCATAAGTGTCATGACAGATGATTATACTTTTGGTTAGCTGTGTAAATAATAAATTGTGTCATCATGTGAAATCGTTTAGGCTAAACATTTCACACTTCTTAATGTACTTCATCTTCCTATCATAAATTTGCACAGGTCGATTGTAGTTTGTGTGTTGACCTTTGTTTATTCATTCACACACAAACACAACGAAACTACTTGTCATGTGTTGATATTTTCGAATTATGTGTTAATTTGCCTACGACGCAGGTGGTTTGGGTTGGATTCCCTCCCGATGCACTGCTAAACCTCTTTCGGCCGGTAGTAAGTTTGGTTAAGAGGGGAGGTTATGCGAGTGGCTAGCAACCTCACCCCGTAAAGTAATGACCTCACAGCTACTGAAACTTCACTTGGAACTCAAAGGGAATGAATGTGAACTAATTTACCTGATCTTTTTAGTACTTTTTTGCCGTTAATCGACAAACGTACAGATTTTGATGTTATTATTATTGCTACTACTATTATTATTCTTATATTGTTCCTTTGGGTTCCTAGTGGAACATAGGGCTTCAACTACGTGTCTCCACTTGCTTCTGTCTTCTGCTGTACTTTTCACCTGCGTCCAGGTTAATCCATACTGTTTCAACTCTTCACACGATCTCCTCCATTTCACCCTTGGACGTCCACTCGCCGCTTCCCTTTCGGGTTCCACTCGAGCTATGGCCTGACGCGCGATGTCACCCAACAGCCTCCTCAGCGAGTGTCTAATCCATCTCCACTTTCTCGTGCATATTTGTTGGGCGATTGGTTCTTGTTTTGTTTGTTCTCATAGTTTCTTGTTGGTGATTATTTCCGGCCATCTGATCTTCAGTAGAGAGCGAAGACAGTTGTTGATAAAGGTCTGCAACAGGCTGTTGAAAATATTCTTTGTGACCCGCCAAGTTTCTGATCCATCCGTATAGAAGAACTGACTGACTTGACGTTTGTATTGAAAATCCGAATTTTGTTGTTGATGCAGGCTGAGTGACGAAGATTTCCAGATTGGTTTCAGGTTGACGAATGTGTTTCTCGCCTGCCTTCCCGATTCTCGATTTGACATTCTCGTCCGTTCTTCCTGTAGTTGAGGTAATGCTCCCTAGATAAGTGAATGAAGTAACCTCTTTCAAATCCCTCCCGTTGATGGTGATTGGCACTGGATGTTGCTGATGCTGTTGTAGTTTTTTTTGGTTGGTTGGTTAATTTCATAACCTCCGTCTTGTCAATGTTCACCTACTATTCGTTACTACTATTTGTTCCGAACAGGACACAGAGCTTTAGTAGCACATCTTCGATGCGCTCGGTTCTGTTTGCGATATCGCTTTCAACTAGCTCCACAACTGACCAGAAGGTTTCATTTCCTTCGCGCCAGGTGATTTTCTTCGTGTCACCTTCAAACACCCAACCCATCATTTCGCATTCGGTTTCCACTTAAATGGATTTGCTTGTGATATCAGTTTTAGGTGTCCTCACAGAATATGCAATCCATCTTCGTCTAGATATTTGTTGCGTAACAAATAGGTTTTTGGCTGATTCGCTGACTGCCAGGGCTCTCCTTGTTGGGGTATCTCTTCACTTGCCGACCGTCTAATATTCATTATCGAGTAGAAAATAGAAGTAAAAAGAACAAACATTTCAGTGGAGGGACATTTTTTGTTGCGTGAGTCCATTCATTGAGGGAATAAATTCGCTCCAAATAGTGTACCTCTTCGTGGAATTGTCTCTTTGTGATACCCAATATCAAGGTGAACATTTTTCATATACTGAATACGAATTTGGCTGTCGTCGGTTCAACGTTAGAATGCTCGCCAACCGCGCACGTGGTGCGGAGTTCGGTTCTCGGCCGATGCACACCTTTCAACCTCGCTTTGCTTGTAGTGAGCCCCATAAAGAGGGAAGGTTGGGCGTGAAACTAGTGATTTCACCCTTTAAAAAAAAACAACAGCACTCCTGCGGAAATTTCGAAGCCCAACACTGAAGTTCTATTCCCCCTCCCCCTCTCCCAGGACACAAAGAAATGGAAAAAAGAATATGACTCCTCTCATTTGTAAAAAATTTATATAAAAAGTCCTGTCACCCCATATACTATCTTATATAATAGAATTTTAATCTCACTTCATTATTTTGAAAATCTGTTTTCTACATACAAATCGGAATTTACAATCTCAATTTCAATTATTTTAGAACGTATATTTTGTCATGCACATAAGGGATTAATTAAGCTGTCTAATCAGGTGACTTTTTTCGCTCGCGCAAGCGTGCGTGTGTGTGCTGTCTCTCTCTGTGGAAGAAACATTAGCATTTCAGATGCATCTCATTGTCTTTCTGTGCCTTTTACCGTTTTTGTCTCTATACGGCACTTTTTCTTTGTCACTGCAATGTGTTTGTGTGTGTGTGTGTTGTGTTCGTCATTCCGATTATAATTATTCGATTTGAGAATGTTAGAAAGGAATATGAGCAGACATTATTTATGCGTGCGTCATGTGTGTATGTGTATGTATGTGTGTTTGCACTCTTAAGGTGCTCGTCTGTCAGCTTCTGCATTGACGCACAACCACACACACAGAATAACACATACGAGTACCACCGTCTGTGCGGTCCACTTGATTCAGTAAATAGTTTCTCTCGTGAATTTATATAATAATAATAATGATACCTATTAACGCTGAATTCCTTCATTTCTCTATGTGTATGTTCACTTTGAGTGTTTGTGTATGTGTGTGAGAGTGGTTGTGTGCGCGACTGCATTCATGACATTCATTTTTGCTTCAGTCACGTGATTTCTTCTTTTCGACTTTGAAGTTCCTTCTTATTGTCTATTGAATATTTTCAAGTACTGATTTTGTAGGGACTTTGTTTAATTGGTTGGAGGGTTTGATCATGAACTGACATCAGTTAGAGAAGCATTGGAAAGCCAACTGGGAGTACTGGACAGCTGTTTCCGCCGTTCTAGTTTAGGACTCTTCGGCAGTATGCACCCACCCACTGACCGCTAGGGTTTGAACCCAAGACCTTCTGGTTACAAGGTGGGCAAGCTAGCTAGCTCGTATACCACACTAAGCCAGCCACCATTCGGACCCGTTCCAATATTTGAAAGTAACAAAGTACGAAGTACTGGCTTTCCAGTGTTTCGCAATTGAATGACACTCATACGTCCATGATTTTGACGTTTTTTGTTTGTTTGTTTGTTTGAATTGTCAATACACATTGAACATTGACTAATTTTCAGTATTGGTATTTTTGCTATTTTTGAATTTTGTTTTGTCTATTTAAAGTGTTGATGTTATTACTTATATCATTGTATTTTGTCCTTTGCAACCTCTTCTAGAGTATTAGTTGCACTGTGTAAATGTAGAACTTGAGCTCTGTGTGGTAAAGAATTTAATTCCATATTAGATGTAGGTCTATTCGATATAACACACAGTTATACAGTATTAATTACTGAATGGATGATGTTTTGAAAGCAGTTTGTTGCTGCTCATAATCATCATATCCAAAGTATTCACATGACTTTGTGTATTGCTTCGTTTATATACATGATAACAGTAATATTGTATCGGAATTTACTTTTGTGCTGACAGCTATCTGCAAGCCGAAATTGTAGACAACAATTTACGTCAGTGTTTCCGTTCCGAATTAGGGTGATGAGAAGAAACAATAAAAAGGCCTAACCTTGATGAACTCACCAGCCAATCACAGCAGACTTAACGTGGACAGATACTATTCGCAGATATATCACCGGACTGTCTAGGAAACGGCAACAAAGAGATGACAGAGGAGGAGGTTGCTTCTCTGCTAACAATAACGAATAATAATGTACATAAAAATCTATAAATATCGGTTGATTTTCTCAATAACCGATCTGTTGCCTGACGCTGATCCTCTTTCGTTACACTTCAGCTCTTCCTCTCTGTTTCACGCATGTCTACTGGACTTTTATTGATTATTATTCAAATTAATCTAATCAATATTTATTCATGTGTGCAAACGAAGCAAGAATAATAATAATAATTTGCTTTATTCCAAAACAGTACTTGTGATACAGGATGGAATTCTTAGCATTTCACTACAGTGCTGCATCCAGTTTGTACATTAACAATAAATGAAATTCTACATAGATTAAGGGTAATCTCAGTTAGTTTTCACAACAACATATTGGCATATCGGAAGCAAAGCCAAAAGAGAACAGAATGTTTGAAGGTGTTATAAAAGTAGATACTAGTATATTTACTGGCGTTAGTGGTAACAAAAAGGTCGAGATATACAGAGTGGGAAAGAACGAAGGAGAACGTTTTAAGAAGAGTTTGTAAGGAAGAGAGAAACAAAACACTACAGCACAAAAAAAAGGTAAAGGAAGAAAGAAAGCGCTTTATCCACAAATGATATGAGTTGGAGAGACGAGATCCAGTTGTTCTACTGACTATTTAATAAGTTATAAGTTTCACGCTTTATGCTTTCTTTATCGCACAGAACACGAGCCAAGTAGGGTATGGCTGACTTTTTGTACTTGCTAGTGCGAGCATATAGTTTTCTATATAGGCTTCTGGTCCTGCCTGATGAGATACAAGGGGAGAGTTGTGAATGAAGAGGGTGATGTAAATTAGATAGAATAGATTTAGCCCATTTTTCACATGAGTCCAAGTGCCTGTCGACCAGAATATTAACAAGCTGGTTAAGTGGCACACTGCTTACCCTGTTGACAACCTTTAACACCCTATGTAATAAGATATAGCGCTTCTTCAGAAAATTGTGTGAGAGTACTTTGATATGATTATGAGCAACAGTAAATATTATTTTGTAACACTTTATCCTTATTGGAATTATGTTGTACCACAGTGCCCAAGTTTTATCTGTACCGCGCGAGGAAAACATCTCGCCCGATAGGTTTATATTTTCACTCGGATATCACCTGGAATTTGTCTTCCTTCTTCTTTTTTGAATGAATTTGTACCGTTTGCGTTATTGGATAGTAAGTTCACAATTACTTAACTAGGGCTTCAAGCTGGAGACTTGAAGTTTCTGTAGCAGTGTTTATTTTTACAGGATGGGGTTGCTAGCCTCATTCCCAACCTTTCCTCTTCACCAGCATTATTTTTAGCTTAGCGAGGTAGAGGAGTCCGTCGGCCGGGGATCGAAGCCCGGATCATGTGCATGGTCGGCGAGCATCCTGACCGCTATGCCACCGACGCACAACTATACATATAGCATGGGTTAATTAAATTCTATGCATTTCTTTTTCCTCGAACTAATAACCTTCTATCATCTACAAGGATGAAAATATCAGTGAAGGGTTCAGAAAGCAAACAAGTCAAAATTCCAGTCTTATCGCGGTAAACTTAAATTCATCATGTCGTATGCCGCCGCCACTACTGCGGCCGACATTGTCCTCGTCATCATCATCAACATCATCGTCATCTTCAGTGTCACCGTCATTACCGCAGTCGATGTTATGGAAACATTCTTCTCGGTCTTCTCACTCATCTTCATCTGAATCGACTAGTGATGATCGTGAAAGGAATAATAATAATGATAATGTTAATAATAATAATAATTCTACTGAACGAACTGTTACTACTGCTGTAACCAGTTACTACAGTACAACAACAACAACGGCGTCAACACCAGCAACGACAACAAGCCAAGCGAATGTATACCTTAAATGTGGTGGTGGTGCAACAACAAGTTGTTCTGAGGAATTTCAACTGAAGTTAATAACCAGTCATAACAATAATAATTATAATGAGAACTTGGATAGTGCTAATGTTGTTGACAATGGCAATAAAAGTGGTAGTGGTCGGCATAAAATGACAAATACTAACAATAGTAGTACTACTGCGAAACGTCATAATCATGCTAAAGGAAGGCAAATGTATGTTATGCGACACGCTGAACGTGTAGACATGAGTTTTGGTCATGCATGGGTTACTCAGTGTTTTGATCATAAAGGTACGTATTTTAAGTGTGTTATTACAATTATTGATTAATAATAATATTATTACTTGGTTTTAAACGTATTCCGATTCCATTCAGTTAGTGGTTGGTTGATACATGTATTGTTAGAGTTGAGAAATCTCAGCACGGATTCAAAAAGCTCGGGCTGCTTTCGCTAACTTACACCGTCTCTGGTGTAGGCGTGACATCCGACTATCAACCAAGGGACGTATGTACTGCTCAGCAGTTCGCTCCGTCCTTCTCCTCTATGGCTCTGAAACATGGCCAATACTAGCTGAAGACATGAAAAAGGTGACTGTTTTTGATCATATATGTCTACGATCTCTTTCTCACGTTAGGTGGTATAATAAGGTAAGTAATGTTGACGTTAAGCGTAGAGTGTTGGGCAAAGAGGGAAAATCAATCGAAGAGGCTATAAAGTTACATAGATTGAGATGGTTAGGTCACGTGCTGTGCATGCCTAACCATCGTCTCCCCCGACGGACGGGCATTACTAGCTGATATAGGTGCAGGTTGGAAAAGAGTAAGTGGTGGTCAAACAAAAACATGGCCTCATCAATCCATGAAATCCTTGACAGTTAAACTGAGTCAGGTAGGGAGGGAGATGCAGACTTCCGGGTTGGGGCCCGCCCTCGGGACTCTAAGAATCAGTGGCTGGAGACACTAGGTGACATGGCTCAAAATCGTTGTCAATGGCTTACGCAGATGTATTCAGTCTGTGTAATCTTTCATATTCCTTTCTACCATTACTCATTCTGTTTCACTCTTATACTTGTCAAAAGTCTATTGATTCTCTTCAGTCATTTTCTTGTCTAGCTCTGTGTGGTATTTGGAACGTGGCAACTGGAACTGCTGCACTTCAGTGCCAAGTTCTATGTTGAATCCAGTCAGACAGAGACAGACAGAGTTGAGAAAAGCAATCAGTAGGGAGCAGTGGAGGTAGGTTTCATGCTTGGTGGCGCTTATCAGTAAGCTGTATGTATCTACAATCTTCAAGGAAGTCATGCGACTTATGAGTTTCGAATACGGGGTATCTAGTGCTGCATCCAGTGACGTTACCACTGAGATATCCGGACTCTTGATTAACCTACTGTAACACTGTAATAGATAGTTTGTTTGAACTCTATGTATTAGTAAATAGTGCGGTGTCTGTAAGAATGGTACGTACTTTGCGCCCTTCTAAGTGCAAAGTATTGTTACAAGATTGGCAGGAGCCTGTATCTGCACTCACTCTTGCGAGTGAACCGCTTGAAGTTGTTGATAAGTTTGTGTATCTGGCTAGTTGTGTGAGTGCTGGTGGAGGGGTGACGGATGAGATTTCCAACCGTATCATGAAGGCTAGGGTGGCATACATCAACTTGAGCCACCTCTGGCGCCGTCGCGACGTTAGCCTGGCTGTCAAAGGTGGTCGGGTATACAATGCTTCGGTGCGGACTGTCTTGCTCTACGCCTGTGAAACCTGACCTCTCCGAGCTGAGGATGTGCGGTGGCTCTGCTTGTTTGATCATCGCTGTCTCCGCAGGATTGCTTGCGTTCGATGGCATCATCGCGTGAGTAATTCTGAGGTTCAGCGGCGTGTGTTTGAACACAGTTGAGATCACCATTCACTGAGTGTCGTCATCTGGAAACACCGGCTCCGGTGGCTTGGACATGTGCTACGAATTTCATCCCAGAGGCTTCCGTAAAGGTCTCTGTTCGCTAACCCTGGGACGGGATGGAAACAGAGCGAGAGAATATTGTTGTTACTGTTTCTACTCAGTTTAAATTGTACATTCACTCACTCCTATCGACATCAATAATCTAAATGCCTTGTTAAAATGACTTGCTCCTCCTTATTATACAATGTAACGAGAAAATTAGAGAGATGCAATGTTATATAGTGTATGTTGGAAATTCCACATTGTACCGAATGTACTGTTTGGAATAAAGCTACTATTATTATCCAGTCAATAAACATATTATAAAAGTAAAGATAATTAAAGTGATGTATTAGCGGGGTAGATTTGAAGTGGATGAATTACAAAACTTTAAGAGATTATTAAATAAATGAATTGGTATTAAGATTTAAAAAATAGTAGGTCAAGTGTTGTCTAAAGTATTTAAAAGTACGACAATGATAACAATAAAGACGGTGAAAGTGAATTGAAGTGGGATGAATTCAAGTGTTAAAATAGAATAAAAAAGAAACAAACACACATCGCTATAACGAAGGTAAAGAAGGGAGTTTGACAAAACGTTTTCGAATACATAATTTAAGTTCTTGTCCATGTATAGTCAGAGCTTCAGCTATGCATAAGTAGAGGAAACATAAACCTTTGGAGTGATTGGATTTGGTCCTGTAGATGACTTTGAAGGATAAATCACGTGGGGCTGAATGACCTGACTCCAGAAAGTGTTCACACGTTGAAGGCTTCATCGTCTTATAGTTCACCTTTCATTAACCAGACTGGGTAGCGTTCAGCTGCGCATTTACGGAGAACACGCTTACAGTATCCGATGTAATCACCTCCACAGGAGCATGTAAGTGAGTATGTGCATATAGTGGTGGACAAAAGCGGTAGTTAATCCCTGACGCATTGTCGAATCATATTTTGACTGGTAAATACTAAATGTAAGTTAGCTGCATAAAAAGATCGTCTAATGCATTTAGACTTTTAATTACTTCAGTGATAGTGTCACTTTTAGACGCCAAACTCATAAACATTATCTTCTTTGACACTGTGATTTGGCTGGGGACTGTTTATTTCTTGATGTTTCTGTCAATACACCTAGGATATCCATTAATTAAGAGAGTTGTGCGAAAGTTTTCTGGTTCTATGTATACCTTATCTATCGAGCAGATTTTCCGAATTCTGGAGCATAGAGGTACCCAACTGTTGAATTTCGTGCACTACCATATGAATGTAGGCTTTCGGTAAATCGCCTTTTTTAATGTGCCGTCCTCTCTTCTGTCTAGTATAATATCTAAGATGTGAAATACAGAATTCGACTCTTCTTCGATAGTGAAAAGCATAGATGGGTGAGAACCATTAGATTTTCCAAGAAATAGAAATGTCATCCATACATATATCTTATACATATGCAGACTCGAAATAGTTCCTATCAATGGACCATTCTCTAAGCTTGCCATGAAGATATCCGCTAGGAGAGGTTCTAAAGGAGACCCTGTGGCGAATATCTTAATACCAATTCACTTATTCAATAATCTTTAAAAGCTTCGTAATTCATCAACTTCAGCTATGCTCTGTTAAAACATCATTTGAATTTTCTTTATTCTTATCATATGTGCGCTTTTGACTGAGCAATTTCTAGTGCCACTTAATAATGCCTTCTTTTTCCGTAGTATAAATACTACTGTACCGAATAAAAAGTTCAGCGAAGAGTCTCTTTTTTGGGCGAATTCATTCACGTAGCTGTACAATCGCATTTATGTATAATTATATTGTGTGTATGTGTGTGTGTGTGTACATTAGGATTGTCAAACAAAAATAGAATAAAAATTAGTTAGGGTTACTGTTTACGTCATCAAAATGTTTCAAAAAATGTGAAGAATCATCAAATTTTAACTACGGGACGAAGAAGACTCGTAAGTGTATTGACAAGGATGATTGCGCTATGTGAATGACGCCCAGAAAAAATAGCATATTAATGAAAGAGTATGGCGACAAGTGTCCAGAATAAATTACGTAATAGGTGGAAAGAGTAAATGAAAGGTTGTTTAAGAAGAAGATGTTACTAAAATATCATACAAAAATTCAAAAAGAAAGCATTGTTAACAAAGTAGTCGAACTTGGAATTATACCGAAGGCAGTAGAGTAGGAGGAGGGAGTGGAGAAGTTTCGTCTGTGTAGATGAGTCAGGGTTTTCCATCCGGATCGCTAAGAGCCTTGGCAATGTAAAGTATGCAGAAGCTTACCGTTTTCAACGGGAGGCTTCTTTTGACTTTGTAGATTAGATGACTTTGAATGAATTCTCATCACATACTGAGTAGTGACCAGGGTTGAATAGTAATAGGGAGTGAAGTGGTAGAGCACGTTGACCCCTTCACTTACTTGGGAAGTACCATCAGCCAGTGCCAACGGGTTGATCTCTGACGAAATCTCAGCACGAATACAGAGGGCTAGGTTCGCATACGCCAGTTTACGCCGTCTCTGGCGTAGACGCGATATCCGACTGGTTATCGACCAAAGGGCGTGTGTACTGCTCAACAGTCCGCTCCGTCCTCCTTTATGGCTGTGAGACCTGGCCATTGAGAGCAGAAGACATGAAAAGATTAGCTGTCTTCGATCATAGGTGCCTGCGTTCTGTCTCCCGTGTGAAGTGGTATAATAAGGTGAGCAATAGTGAGGTTAGGCGTCGAGTGCTAGGTGAGGAGGGGAAATCAATCGATAAGATTGTGCAGCTACATCGGTTGAGATGGTTAGGACATGTGTTACGTATGCCTAGTCATCGCCTTCCTCGATGGGCAATGTTAGCTGACGTAGGGTCAGGCTGGAAAAGAGCTAGAGGCGGTCAAACCAAAACATGGCACCAGTCAATGAAATCTACAACAGTTAGTCTAGGCCGGTAACAACCAATGGTTGGAAACAGTTGGTGATATGGCTCAAAATCGTTCTCAATGGCTGGCGCAGATGCATCCACTCCTTGTGACTTATAATTTCCAATGAAACTATATCGTTGTTCGTTACTACTATTCGTTTGTCTCACACCTCTGTTTACTATCTCTATTATGCATTTCTTCTAGTTTCTTCTCTTGCTTTGTGTGCTACAAAGAGGGAGTGTGGCGACTTGAACTGCCGCACATCGGTGCAAAGTTCTATGTGGTAAACAGACAGACAGTGTTGAATATACGTTCAATTATATCACTCTTTATTTATCCATTGTTACCTGTTCGTAGGCAAGCAGGATAATGTTATGGTCAAATGAGATAGTTTATCTATGGAGTTGTTGAGGAACAATGGGCAGCTTGAAAATACCAGTCATAATGTAGCAGCAGAGAATATTCTTTACAGGACGCTAGAAATCCTCCTCTTCAGGGTGTCGGCGAGAAGGTCGCCTTTGAATGCCACGTTCATGGCACAGAGATGGGTTGTTCTTTGTTGATTTTCAACTTTATGTGTTTATCTGTAGTGCTTGATGGATACCCAATGTCAAGTAGTGTCTTCCTCAAAGGAGTGATCTCTTCTTCTACTGATTCGGGGCTGCTTATTCTACAGATTCTAGTCGCAAGAGGTATTATCAGGTTCCACTTGCGACTGATGGGTACCCATCTAACTGTAAAAGTTCGTCAGCCGACCGTTCTACACAGGCTTTCGATATACTGATCTCTCCAGAGTCCCATCAGTCTTCATTGTTGGTCGAGCATCCAGAATTGAGATTTTCTCTCCTGTTTCTGCTTAAATTGTGAATTTTGATGACTGGGTGGCAGCTATTGAAAACCTGAAGCACATTGTTCTGGTCACATTTCTTATCACAAATGATAAAAGTGTCATCAACATACCTTTTGTACAGAGAGAAGTTGTCCATTGTCGGTTTCAACGGACCATTTTCAAAAATTGCTATGAAAATGACCGCAAGTAACGGGCCTTTATATACAGCAAGATGTGGTGGCCATGGGTTCACCTTTGTGTAGCTACATCTCCACCTCCGTTGTTTTTTTCTTAATTATTTTAAATTGCGAAATATCGTATGAGTCTTTTATTGCTCTTATATTTATATTATGTAGGAGTGTATCGTAGATTCAACTTAAATCTCCCACCATGGTTACCGACCAGATCAGACTGTTTAGAGTATATTTTGGACTCACCAATTACTCAGGTTGGATTATTTGTATCAGCTGAAACTGGTCGAGCGCTGGCAGACGCTGGAGTTCAATTTACTGCGTGTTATTGTTCACCAGCTTTTCGATGTGTTCAAACTGCCTGTGAATTATTACGAGCAATGGGTCGTGTAAGTGATTGCGCATAATCGAATTACTTGAAATTGTATGTTTGTATTCATTTCCTTGTACAATATTATCTCCTCATCAGTGAAATTGTATTTTATTGACGGCTGAGAGTGGGTGGACTTCTGTCTTTCTATAGAAATGCTACAGGTTCACCACAGACACTGCCACTACAAGTCTAATTCACTTCCTTCATGCGGTGGGAGAGTGTTCCTCACTAAAGTAAAAAGGTGAATGGGAACGTCTGGCAGACATTCAAGTCTACTCAGAGGAGCTGGAAATCCTAACCTATGATGTACGTGGGCTCCAGAATCCGAACGAACCAAATGGCATGTGGACTTGTTTTTGTCGCCGGCAATCATGGGAATGCAGCTCCCGACGCTTCTCTACTGCCTTTTTGGATCAGATTCAAGTCTAAGACTTGGAGGGAAATGGTCATCTAAGACAACCAACTGTCTGTCTGTCTGTAGTAGAGAAGCAAGATGAGGAAGGTGATGTGAGTAAGGGAGAGTGATGCTCAGGTTGGTTTCGTGTGCTTTTTGGAAGTGTGTGGGCGGTTGTTACTTCTCGGCTGCCCACACTGTGGAAGTTGGTTGAGTCTTCGGGTACCTGAAATAGAGAAAAGGTTAGTGTTGCGTGACCGCAGAGCCCAGGGGACAACTGCTTGAGACCGGTCACACACGGCTTGTTTTTTTGTTCTTTTTCATTTGGTGTGTCCCAGTAGCATATTTATCACTTCTGCCCTGTGACACGGCAGCAGGAAGCGCGGTCGTTGTTAATCCGGGCCCAGACAGATCCGGCATGATATTTTGTGAATTTGTTTGAATCATAGTATTGGATTGGGTAGCTGCTTTTTGTCTAACCGCTATCCAAACAACTTTTCTGGCATGGTAGGACCTCAAGCGACATAAGTTCCAGCCAGTGTAGCTTGTTGGGTCATTGTGGTGTTCAAGTACGACCACCACGTCAAGGTAGCAGCTTTCGGTCGGGAAGACAACCAACTGCTCTGGTCTGGGCGTCTGGGTAGTATCCTAGCCCTTGCACAAACTATACGATTTCGTGTATCTTATCTTTTGGTGTCCATAATGTAATATAATGTATCTTAATTTGAATAATAAGCCTCATTTATGGATTCATAGAAGAGAATACGACTGCCATGTGAAGTATTTTAGAGAGAAGATGGTGTGGGTAAAATTAAACCATCATAGCTGTAAAACCAAAGTGACCCTGAACAACCAATCAGTATTCAGATGAGAAAAAGTAGCATAATCCTTAAACAGATGTACTAATAAACATTGAAAATATCATGTAACATTGAGTAGTCCTCTCTGGTGTTGTAAGAATGTATCCGAGTTACTCCAGGCCGTTAGTCCATAGAGAAATCTCTACTATCTGCGACAGATATATATTCATGCAGGTGACTGTAGATCATGGTACTTTGAGGTCAATTGATATTCCTGTCATTTGTTTAACCTACTCCTAACCCTAACCTTAGTCCCCAAAACACCCTAACTCTAACCCTCCATAAGAGTATACATTTACAGTTAAAAAATACCCAAGGATTAAGTAGAATACTGTACCTATCCAAATGGGTAGGCTGGATTTAATTTGAAAGACTTTTCATGGCATTCCCTAAATCTGATTGGCTATTGAAGGCCAACTTTAGAAAAACCTTGACATCGGTTACGAACGTTAACAAAATATCTTTTACTATCTGAAATGTCACAGTCAATATTTAACACTTGGCAGCTATACCGAATGTATTTATGTTTCAAATTGGCCTTAACAAACACTAAATCCACTAGTGATTTTAAGGAATTAACAACCAATGAAAGTCCATATCTGTCACAAAGAGTGGGAATTTCAAAATGGACCATCAGTGTACGAAAATGGTAATATTTTATAGTTACGTAGTGTAGATACTTTTCCCGAGAAATCCGGAGCGTAAAATCGAAATATAATTATAGAAACCTCGAGTTGTGACGTGTCTTTGTCTGAATGCCATCAAATGGGCAGTCAGTGTGCGCCAATAAGAAAGACAGCAAAGTTGGCGTCGAAGGTGATCTATGGTCAGACTAAACAGCGTGTGAATACTAGACAAAGAATAAAGCTATTCGATACTTTTGATTGGACACTACTTAGTTACTAGGTTATTGTGTCTAGTCTTTTGTTTGGTCCAAACTAAATTCTATCGTCAGTCAAGCTTGCAGTGTGGCCACCATGCCACTAGGTGGCTCGCCATCACGGTGCACTTTGAATTGTTGATATGGGATGGTTGGAGGCAATTGGCAGGAAGCCTTGCTTGACCTGGGTTTCATGCTACTTGCCATTCACCAGTTAGCAAGAGTGCGTATCTGCAACTAACTACCTTGAAGGAACACATGTTCCTTCTGAGATTCGAACCCGCGTCACCCAGTGCTGCAGTCAGAAGTGTTACCACTGAGCTAGCTGTTCGGCGTCTCGATTGACCTCCTGTAGGACTCTGTATTGGACACTAGTATGTAACTAGCGTAATATCTCTAGTCCTTTGTTTGGTGCACTCCTACAGGAGGTTAATCGTGAGGCCGAACAGCTAGCTCAGTGGTAGCACCTCTGACTGCAGCACTGGATGTCGCGGGTTTGAATCTCAGAAGGGATATGAGTTCCCTCAAAGCAGTTAGTTGCAGATACGCCCTCTTGCTGACTGGTGAGTGGCAACTAGCATGAAACCCACCCAGATCAAGCAAGGCTTCCTGCAAATTCCCTCCAACTATCTAATATTAACAAAGAGGTTCGAATCAACACTGTTCAACAGCGAAGGTTGTGTAGATGAAAAAAATACAGAAGATAATGTTTAACTATAAGAAAATATTTCCTATATATCAAATAAATTATTAATACATTGAAAGAGTTGGACTTCATTAGAGGACAACAGCCATAGTTACGGAGTAAGAAATTGCCATGCTAAAACTACTTGCTACTAATAAGTAGGTTAAAGTTTAAGACAAGAAAAAATAACTAAGGATAGGAAAATGCTTTGAAAAGGTCCAAGTCACCTCCCAAAAGACGTTGAATTTAAAAGTGCTACTGAATCAGAACTTCTCCGTAATTGGCTTTCGAAATCTCTCAGTAATACGTGTTTCGACTCCAGCTTTCGAGGAGCATTTTCTTGCAAAAAACTATTCAGCTAGCATGTGAAAGACAAGCTTTTGCATTTAGGCACTTCAGCATCCATATACTAGTTCAATTGCTCTTGCGGAGCCGAGTACGTTGACCGTACCATGCTTCCACTCGTGAAACTCTCTCAGGAACATTATCCAGCATGGTTAGCAAACGGTGAACTCAAGTGTGTATATAGTGCAGCAACAGAACGTCTGGTGAATTGTAGACGTTCAACTCCATTTGAAAAGTCCTTCAAAGATGCGATCAGACTTCTCAAAGGGATTAAAATCAAGGCATCGGTTACCCAAAGGTTCATGTCCACGCTATGCAATTAAAAGAAGTACATCCAACTATCGTTTTTACCGTGGCCGATATAAGCAGTCGATTCCCTCTATAGTGATTATCCTATTGTGGTGAGAGCTGTCTACTAGCCAAATTGGTAGACAGTAATTTACGTCAATGTTTACGTTCTCAAGATTGGTCGTGAGAAAATATGAACAAAGACTGATTCAAAACCGACCACAGCAGACTGTGCGTAGGCGGATACAGTTAACATATAGATGATTTGCCATTCAAGAAACAGTCACAAATAGATGGAAGATTAACTTTAAGTGAGAAACAACCAATCAGAAGACTGTGTTTGTTTACTTCACTAATCTATAATAATGTACATGAAAATATATAGGTATGCGTTGATTTCCTTAATAAACGATCTGTTGCCTGGCCCTTGTCTTCTGTTGTTACACTATTACCTTTCTTATCCAATCTTCCTGTTTATTTATGTTATTGTAATGTCTTTTTAATTCTACCCAAACTTCCTGCCTACTCTGTTATTACTGTACGTTTTTTTATCCCTGACTGCACAGAAAGTCAATTTCTTCGGTATTTGCGATCCTGCTATGGTTTATTTTTATCCTATCTTCCCCTGTTTACTACACTTTGTGATCTTGTTAGTTTGACCCTTGATCGGAAGTAGTCGTGGTACTTTCTCACCCATTTATTATAAATACACACGAATGTACTGTTAATCGCGATAGATAGATAGACTGTATAATAAACAGCCAATCAATATTATGTGACCTTTTTTGTCGCGATTATTGGCCAATTAATGTAACTTACACCACGTGATGGTGACCTTGAATGTTCTTTTTTGTCTGTCACTCTACTTGTATATTCATATACATGTAATTAATTGACTGTTCATTTTGTCCGTACCCTCAATACTGTTCGGTACGTTTTTCTCCTATTTTTGTAATGACAGTGGATTTGTACATTTTTCTTGGTGTAACTGTATGATTTATTTTATGTTTTAGAAACAGATAAAGTTTAATTCAAGTTATTCTGTTTTAACTATAGTAAAGCCAAGACTCTGTGTCGTCAGTATTGAGGAAGGACTAAATCTGTAGGACAAAAATAATCCTACATGTACGTACTGCTGGCTGGTTGACCAGTCTAGTTGATGACTTCGTCGAGAAGAAAGTCTTCTTCTCTCCAATATTATCTCCTATCATCTAATCTAATGTGTATATTCGACAAGTTTTTTGTTGAATTGTTTTCTCTGTCTGTCTATAGTTCCGTTTTTTCCTCTCTCCCTCTCTCTCTGATTTTCAGTTTGATCTACCTGTTCGTATAGAACCACATTTATTTGAATGGTACGGTTGGTATGCTGGTAATCGTTTACCGAAAATGATGACTCCTCATCAACTGAAACAAGCTGGTTATAATGTGGATATAAATTATAAACCATTAAGTGTATGCAGTGATAAAGATTTCAATGAATCTATACAAGGCTATTGTGATCGTACTGCTCTATTAATTAAGCGTATATTAAATATTCATAAATCTAAAGGTGAGTTATGGATTTTCGCTCACGCAGGGAGGCGTCGCAAGAAGGCAGGCAGACGTTGCTTTTGATTGTTATAATTGATATGTTGTAACCGTTTGATATGCTATTGTTTTGTGCTATTTCTACTCTGTGGTCTTATAGCCAATGTGTCCCGTGTTCGACTCCCAACCCATATACCTCAACCGGGCAACTGGCTAGTATCACCAGTCTGTGGCTCATAGTCGGTTACATGGTATGAATTAGATAAAAACTTACTCTGTGTCCAAAGATCTGGGAATTAATTAGGTGGGAAGATGGGATAAGTCAAGGTATTGTAGCTCTCTCTCTATATTTTCTCAAACTAGAAATAAATGTAACCAACCATATATCATTAAGTTTAAGGTGGTAATTTTTTTTCATTGGACGACAGTTCTCTTTTCATTTTTACTGTACACCCTTAATATTTGAAATTCTGTGTCCAATTTAATTACAAATTCTAGGAAGTGATGTGAATGTTTTCCCCTCATGGAACTTAGTACAAAAGTGCATGTCAAATTACATAAATAAAGCACACGTAATGGTGGTTGAGAAAAAAGGCGAAGGACGAAAGAACTTATGGTAAACGAAAGTGTCCGACAGATGGGATAATTACATGATAAGAAATGTGAATCTAATATAAACTTGAAAGAGACATTACAAGGAGCGGAACAATTTTGAGTCGTGTGATCAACAGTCCCCGGCGATTGATCCTTAGTTTGTTGAGAACTTCAGCTAGACAGTCTCCATCTCTATATCTACGTGACTCAGACTAACAGGGAAAGCCTTCGTCGACTGGTGTCATGTGTTGATTCCACCACGTGTAACTCTCTTGTTCAACTCTTGTCCTATGTCAGGATGGCGTTGCTTGACGAGTAAAGCAATTGTTCGGCACTCTGAACACATATTCTGGAAATCTCAATCGGTACAACTTCACAACGTAACTCCTTGGTATTCCAAAGAGGTAGTAATGGGGCAAAATTGCATAATTTTGCAGTTGGCACAAGTGGAAGTCGCAGCTATCAGACGATACGTAATTTTTAAGTCGTTTATAGTTAAAAAGAATCTTTAGTTTTTCATGTTAGATTTCGTTATGAATTAGTGTGAACTAACAAAGCTACAGGATATTTAACAGGCGAGTTTTTGTACCAATGAGGCACTCTTCAGTTATGTGCGTAAGCCCTGAAGACCCGAAACGAAAATGAAGTCTAAGATTGTTATTTTTTTCCAGGGAAGACCCACGGCTTCAATATTCAGTCACGTGTTTTTCACCGACCTGTGTGAATTTGGGGTAGTGCTGTAGTTTTGTTCACTGCCTTATTTATGCAATGTCTTCAAAAACGTATACTTACGTGTACTTTGTGAAGTACTTGTGATATACTTCATTAGCAGTACTAGTACTATGTGTGAACCGTACCGTGTAGAAGAATGCATTGTTTTTGGAATCTATGAGTACCTTGGATCGACTAATGTGGTATATGAGTGTGAAAGTAGTTGAGCAAATTGTCTCTTCCATTTATTTGGTAAGCTGAATAGACCCTAACGGAGTGATTTCTGGTTGGTGTGACATTCGCCAACTGATGTCATCTTTGTGTCCTAGACATGATATTCCGTTATCGATTAAAGGACGTGTGTACTGCACAGCAGTAGTTTGCTCTGTTCCCCTTTTTGGCTGAGAGACATTGACATTGAAAGTGAGAGACAGTAGTATAGTAAGCTATCTGTCTTTGATCACAGATCTTCGCGTTGCATCTTCAGTGTCCAGTGATATTATGTGGTGATTAATGTTGTGGTTAGGCGCAGACTCTTAGGGGAGAAGGAGAGGTCATTTGAGATGGATGTGAACTCACGTCGATTGAGATATCGTCGACGTATGCTGCACATGCTCTGCCAATGCTTTCATTGTCGAACAATGTTACCTGATATCAAACTATGTCGGAATAGAGATACCTTGGTCAAACTAAAAGCGGGCATCAATTCATGAAATATTAGACTGTTCGTCTGAGTCATGGTACAAGCTGAAACCTATGCGGAAGCGGGTTGTTCAAGATAATAAGAATCAATGCTTGCAGACAGTCCATTATCTTGTTCAACCACCATCGGTACGCCATTCAATGACCAGCCAGTGCATGAATTCTAACTTCTGCCAACTGATGACATAGCCCGACCACTTCTCTATTGGTTTTCAAAGTGGTTGTAAATTCTCTCGTGGTTTCTTGAAATATGGGTTAATAAAACAGACTCCCTGGCTGACTGGTTTCAACATAGAGGTTTTCACAGGGGTGCAGCATTTCTAGTTGCCAAATTGCATGTAGAGTACACATAGGTAGTGAAGACAAAAGGTATAGGAGAAAACGGATACAGAAGAAGGATAATAGGCAAAATTGTGCGGAACATAGAAAGAGTAGTAAGATGGGAAAACAATAGAGTTTTATAGTAGAAATATCAGGTGACAAAGAGTGAGTGCATCTGGACCATGAAAAGTCTCCAGTCGTTGACTTTCAGAATCCCGAGGACACTTGAACTAGGAAGCCTACACCGCTGTCTGTCTGTCTAGCTGGTTGTCTGTGAAACCGACTGTTGAAGATGTCATCGACCGATTCCATATTTCGATTTGATCATGACTACCTGTTTTCCAACCTGATCCTATCCTGTATCACTTAAGATTGTTCGTCGAGGAAGGCGAACATGTTTAGACATCTCAATCGATGTAGCGTCACAACTTCATCCATCGATTGACGCTCCCTCCTTTCCCGACTAACACAGTGGATGCTTGCGTAACTTGAATAATCACTCTCGTTTATTAATGGCATCGAATGAGTGTAATATAATACTAAATGATACTATCCTTTCCTTTTCAAAACAAAAATTCTTTCAGATACCTGTTTGTTGATTGTTGGTCATGCTTGTTCACTGGACACCTGTACACGTCACTTGGTGAATCATGGCTTTCGACATCATCATCATATCTCTTCAGATGAATTCCAACATCGTACATCAATTGTACCGTATTGTGGTTTACTATTGGCTGAAGAGAATCGTCGATGGAATCTTGTTGAAGCGCCGATACCCAATGCTTGTTCATATTCGCGAAATTGTGATTATGATTGGAGAGAGTTGCTTGGATCAACACTGTGTAATTTTAAGATTAAATGAAGAGATTTGTAGACTGAATAATAGGGGAAGTGAACTGAAATTGATGTTGACTGCATAATTGGATGGGTGTTGGTCTTCTTCGTTGTGGTGGTTGGGGTGGGAATTGACTATGTAGTATTACTACTCGCGCTAGTCTTATTACTATTTTTTGTTTTGTTGTTAATTTGCATTTATATGCATACGTATATGCATGTGTATGTGTATATTTTCGATTGATTTTGTCAAGACACCAGAGAAAAGACGCAAAAAATGTACAGTATTTCAGTAAGCCGGTCAGTCAGTCAGTGACTCACTGACTGGTATTTTCCTCCATATTCACACTATTTATATTATTATTGCTATTATTATTATTATAATTATTATCGTCGGTATATTATATCACTCTTCACCACATATCCTACAGGGGCGCCTTCATCAGAGTTGTTTTTGAAGAAATCTATCTCTATATATACAGTATGCTACCTTAATCAGGTACTTGGTTTTCTTGTTTTGTTTGTTTCGCGTTTCTTTCCACTGGTTGCAAGCAAATTCGTTACACATAACACTGTTGTTGGAGATCGTTGACTAGGACTTCTGAGCAGCCATGAAATCATTTGTTACTATTATTATTGTTATTGTTATTATTATTATTATTATCGTAACAGAAGAGGGGTGCAGTGCAGTGGAGTGTGTATTCAATTTAATTTAATTGAATTATGTAAATATATAGATGTTGTTTATTTTAGTGTTCTTTCTTGTTTTTGAGGCTTGTTGGCATTGAATAAATGAATGCATGAGTTTAGCTGACTGGCTGGCTGGCTGTGTGAAGTTGAAGGCTTCGTTTGAAGTCAATTAACCGGAAGAGATATTTCGTGTCCCCTCTCAACGATGTTCTGATGAGTGAGGCAAGTGTTGTGTTTTCGATTGGTTGGAGGATTTGATGATCATGAGGTGACATGAGTTAGAGTAGCATGGTGAGAGCTTTAGGGAGTGAGTACTGGACAGCCGGCTGTTTCCTGCGTTCTAGTCTGTAACTGTTAGGCAGTATGTACCCATCGACCATACAAACCAGGAAGACTTAGAGGCATTATACTTGTTACTAACTACTGTCCGTTCAAATGCTTCCAATACAGAGCCCTATAGGAGGTCAATCGCGAGTCAGTGGTAACATCTGTGACTGCAACACTGGGTGACGCGGGTCTGAGTCTCAGAAAAGACATGAATTCCTTCAGGGTTGTAGATACGCCTTGGCTGAGATTAGACTTTCGGCGATAATATGTTTTTAAATCCTTCTCAGTGGTATAAATGGACTGACCCTTTGTAATCTTCCATGTTTCTGCATGTTAATAGTCTTTCTTCCGTGTCCTTCTGCCCATTTTAATTCTTTTCCCTACCTTTGTGTGTTACACTGAGTGTGTTAACTTGAACTTTTGCACTTCTGTAGAAGGGACTTCTCTGAAACTTAGTCAGTCAGATATCATTTAGCAAGTTACTTGACTACATGCCTTTAAGGTGTGTTGTTCTACAGATTGTCAAATCTTATGGTTCTTTTTTATTCCTTTAGATACTTGAAGTTTCTGTAGCAGTGGTGTTCATTTTTACGCGGTGGGGTTGCTAGGCTCATGCCCAACCCTCCCTCTTTACCAGTCTTTATTACTGGCCTAGCGAGGTAAAGGAGTGCGTCATTGGCCGGCGATCGAACCCCGAACCACATGCGTGATTGGTGGGGAATCTACGGCTGTGCCACCGACTCACAAGTTAATCTCTTTAGAACACTACTATATAAAAGCTTTTCTATTTCCTAACTTATGAAAAACAAGGCGATATTGATTTTACTGACGTTTCGCTATTTAATGCTGCTTCTAGTAGCTTTATTAAAGTATTATTTAACTAGGATTTACAAAAACCTAGCATATACATAACAAATTTAATTATCGTTTATAAGCGTGGGGCGGGAGTGGGGATTAATTTTTACGTTGTCAAGTTGGCCAATTGGTAAAGTTAACAAAACCAACTGTAGATTGTTGGATTTGATAAGTGTATAAAATTATAAAAACAACAAGTGTCTACACAATGAAATTGCTTATCACATTCGTGTTGATTTTGTCACTTTATAGAGGGGAGGGGGTGGTTGTTGCATCCAGGTCAAATTCTGTTTCATTCCATCATTGCTATTGAGACAATTTGGATTCCATTAAATAAATGAAGTGCTTCTGATAATGTCAGACGCTGTTTGTGATTTATCATGTTCTTCTGGAGTATTTCAATAATGTCTAAATCAATTTTGTGAGCTGATTGAGTGTAGACTATCTATTTCTCCATTTCTCCTTGACTTTGCCATCGATGACATTCTGGAGTCAGCTCTGAAGGATGTGCGTGAAGGTGGTGTAGATCTGCTACCTGGAGATAGACTTTTCGACCTCGAGTATTCAGACGATATCGTCTTACTGTGCGATAGCATGCAGGCTGCCCAAATCGCACTTAATCAGTTGGTTATCAGTGTCTGTAAGTATGGTATGTGCTTTGCACCGTCTAAGTGCAAAGTACTGTTACAAGATTGCCAGGAGCCTGTACCTGCACTCACTCTTGCGGGTGAACCGCTTGAAGTGGTCGATAAGTTTGTGTATCTGGGTAGTTGTGTGAGTGCTGGCGGGGGGGTGACCGGTGAGATTTCCAACCGTATCATGAAGGCTGGGGTGGCATACTTCAACTTGAGCCACCTCTGGCGCCCTCGCGACGTTAGCCTAACTGTCAAAGGTGGTTGGGTATACAATGCTTCGGTGCGAGCTGTCTTGCTCTACGCCTGTGAAACCTGGCCTCTCCAAGCTGAGGATGTGAGGCGACTCTGCTTGTTCGATCATCGCTGTCTCCGCAGGATTGCTTGCGTTTGATGGCATCATCGCGTGAGTAATTCTGAGGTTCGGCGACGTGTGTTTGAACACAGTGGAGACCACTATTTGTTGAGTGTCGTCATCTGGAAACACCGGCTCCGGTGGCTTGGACATGTGCTGAGATCGTCATCTCAGAGGCTTCCGTACAGATCTGTGTTCGCTAGCCCTGAGACGGGGTGGAAAAGGCGGAAGGGTGGTCAGTCCATGACGTGGCGTCGTGGGATGAAGGATGTTTGTGCTAGATTAGCATCAGTTGGTGCGTCACGACTCCCTGATTGGGGTCCGCGAGATAGCTTGAATCGATGGCTCGAAACGTTATCGAATATGGCCAAGAATCGTAATCAGTGGCGAAGGTGTTGCAATTCGCTTCTTTCTTCCATTCCCGATGATAGTTGACAAATACTGTCTGAACTTATTAAGCATGACTTTTCCTTCCAGATGAAGTTCTTTACCCGTTCTCTATTTATATTTTTTACTTTTGATCTATGTTGTTTTGTTATTATTGTGTGGCGCATCTTTCTTGGTGCCATATGGTACCAAGTTTTTTTGTTCTGCGTTCAAATAATAATCATAATAAAGACTATCTATGGCTGATGATTTTTCAAGCTTTTTGGTTCAATTGGATTTCTCGGTGGTCGAACAGAGTCAGCTCTACAGTGTTCATTTCTTCTGATCTTGTTTTCTCATGATTTTTGTCCGCTTCGGTGCCAAGTTCTATGTTGAATCCAGATTTTTGTCCGATGCATCTGTTCGACACCCGAGAAATTCAGTTGAACTAGAAAAGCTTGAAAAATCATCAGCCGTATATCCGTCTACACGCTATAGAATCAGGTCACAGAAGTGATATTGACAGTACTGAAATAATCCAGAAAAGTATCAGGAATCGCAAAGAACGTGCCTGATATCAATAGAAGCACTTAATATATCATCATCAAATGGTGGAATCCAAATTGTCTAATGAATTCGAGAATGATGAACTTAGAGAGAATTTGCCCTGGGTTTTTTTCATTCATTGAGAAATACAAAAAGAACTTTTATAATAATTTAATATCACATACCCAATGCATAGGAAACAGGCATAAAATGGACTCACACAAAAAACTTGGAGGATCTGGACTTCACCAACGATGATATATGTCTGATTTCCCACAAACTGGAAGATATGCAAGCGAAAAGCAACAAGTTGACAGAAGAAGCATCAAAGATAGGACTTCAGGTGAACATAGAGGTGATGAAGATTCCTGGGCAAAACCACCACCAGCAGGAACAACAACAACAGACAACAATCAGCATAAATGGAAGGAACCTGAAAGAAACAACCTCTTTTACCCACCTACCTGGGAAGCATCGTTTCAACTACAGGCGGCGGAACTGATGAGGATATCAAAGCAAGAATCAGAAAAGCAAGATAAGCTTTCATTACTCTCAAGTCTGTGTGGAGGTCAACAGCACTCAGCATCAAAAATAAGATCCGGATTTTCAACTCCAATGTGAAGTCAGTGCCACTATACGGACTAGAGACTTGCACTGCGCGTCATAAAGAGCATCTCGAACAAACTACAGACCTTCATTAACAGTTGTCTTCGCTCAATACTCAAGATCAGATGGCCGGCCAGAAAAGATCAGTAACAGAGATCTCTGGGAGCGAACCAACTCAGCAGGAACCGCTTGTGATGAAACAAATAGGCAGGAAGAAATGGAGATGGATTGGCCATACTCTGAGGAAACCAAACCATCAAGTGACATCATTAGACAAGCCATTGCTCGAGTGGAACCCGAAAGGGAAGCGGCGGCGAGTTGGTCGTCAGTGCAAGGGTGACTTGGAGGAGGTGATGTGAAAAGGAGATGAAAACGTGTGGGCAGACTTGGAGCCAGGTGAAGACTCTAGCAGAGAACTGAACGCAATGGAGACGCGTGGCGGAAGCCCTATGTTCCTCTAGGAATTAAAAGAAACAATCATATAATAATAACAATAATAATCGCAACTGTTAAAAATGAACTTGGTTTAGACATATATGTATATATACTCTTCAAAACACTTTTATACAAACAAGACGTGAAAAATTACAAACATGTATGTATATGTATATAATCAAGATGAGTTGATGAACAAGTTCAGTAGGCTAAGTGTACACACATTTATAAATGTCAGATTGTGTAAATTAACAACAACAACAAGATATAATCGATCGATCGATCAGCCTTATTGCAATACTGTAATACAAATGGAGATGTGAATAGATAATAGGCAGTAATGTCTAGAAATACACCGATTTAAGACGTAGAAATATGTGTTCAATCACACATATATGTGTATATATATAGAGACAATGCAAACGACAAACACTGGAAGCACAACTGACCTTTAACAAATAATACGATGTCTTAAAATCAATAAAAAAAAGAAAAAGACAAAAAGAAATTTTGTAAGAACAATTTGACACATAATTATCCTTTTCAATTCTCATTTGTTTTACTAGTTAACATTTGTACTGTCGCGGCAAAATGACGAGCCAAATTTAAAATATTCTGAACATCATGATTTTCAGCTCTTTCTGTAAAAAAGTTCAATGATGAAAAAAAGAATGTCAATGAAAGATTTAGGGTAATTATTTCAAAGAAAAAAAAAACGGATTACACCCTTGGTTATTTCATGAATCAAATCAACTGTTTATTTCAATTCCACACATTGATTTTAATTGAATTTTGGATTTTCCCGTCGATTGACTCTGACCGAAGTGCTCGGTCTCAGGTTGACATGTCGGCTTCTTGTGCAGATGCTTCGACGATGACTGGGCATGCAGTTAGAAGTTACTTGGTGGATGGTGACTAGCAGTGGAATCCAGGATGCATACTTCGTCCTAGTTGGGGCTCGTCATCTGGATGTACTTGCATTCCCTAGTCAGTAAGTGATGATGTTCCCACCGGGGCTCGAGCCCAGTACCCATAGTTTCAAACGCCAAAAGCATTATCTACTAGACCACTTAGTCCATGACAGCCACGTCTTGTGCAGCGGGTCATGCTAATTATCTAATTGAATTTTAGATTTTGCGGTTGATTGATTGGGCCGAAGTGCTCGGTGGCTCTGTTTGCCCACGTGGTCTAGTATATAGTGCTTTGGCATTTGAAACTATGGGCACTGGGTTCGAGCCTCGCTGGGAACATCATCCCTCACTGACTGGGGAATGCAGGTATATCCAGTGACGAGTCGCAAAATGGGACGAAACGCTCGTCCTGTATTCCACTGCTAGTCATCATCCAGCCACCTCACACGTTGATGTTTAATAGTTGATGACATTCGACAGGAAGCCTTTGGTGTAAGTTTTGTAGGTTTTGTTAGCACTCGTCAGGGAAGCAAAATCTGTAACCTGAAAAAAATTTGACGTCATTTGAAAAATCCAACATGCATTACCAAGTGCTGAAGTCTTTACCACCGAGTTATTTGAAGTAAATTACTAAACTTAACCTAATTGAATCAAGTTCTTAAACCTTTGATAACAAAACACATGACATTGGCTACTTGTCACACACGTCAACCTTGAATTTATATCTGATAGGTCCCAGCATAAAATACTAAATCATCCTTTCTCACGAATCGTGCGATTTATCATGTGATGGAGTTACTATGTTAAGAATGCATCATTTTTCATGCATATTGTGATTTAGTGTGTGTGTGATCAATTCATCGTCCTTTGTCTCACCTTGATCATTGTCGAATCGTCAACCAATCAAAATAGACAGATATTTTGAGCCAATAAGAATAGTCCATTCTCAAGGTTGTGAGCCGACTTTATTATGGTGAAGAAAATGTAATAATTATCATGTGTTGTTTCCTAAGCTGTAGAATACAATATCTTACAGTCACAGGCAAGCCTTTGTCTTTTGACATTTGTGAGGCTCAGTGAATCCGAAAGTAAAACGGACAAATAAGCATATTAACGTACCAGTCGAGTTCATTACCGTTATAGTAATTAGACAGGCGCAGACATAACAAAGTAGCAACGGATTTATTCAGTTCAGTTGAGGTATAACAATATCAGTGCTAGGCTAAATAATGAGTGAGCATTAATAATAATAAATTACTGGGCAGATAACTACCCAGTTGAATTGTTCAATATTAAGCGTATTAAAATGTTCCTTTTTGTACATTTTCACACTTGTTAAATGGACACTGAATTACATTTTATTCTCATTCAATAACAGTGATAACCTTATCGAATTTCTAACCTTATCTTCGTTTGTGCCGTTAAATATTACACAATTTTCAGTTTTACTTTTGAAGCCAGTTTCGGGATAATTTATATCAGTTAGCTTGCCCCTATACCCCCCTATTACTCAATCAGATGATATAGTCTTTCTAGGGGAAAACGCTGACAAATTACAGAGTCTTCTGAACGCCTTGAGCTGCAATCTGCTAATGTTTGGCATGTGATTCACTCCCACCAAATGTAAGATGATGCTATGGGACTGGACTACATTGACTCCTAGCTTAGAAATAGGGAGTGAAGTGGTTAGCGGAGCGTGTTGACCACTTCACTTGTTTGGGAATTTGTATCAGCCCAACGCCAACGGGTTGATCGCTGACGAAATCTCAGAATGGATACAGAAGGCTAGTTTCTCATATGCTAGTTGACGCCGTCTATGGCTTTGTAAACGTGATATCTGTCTGGCTATCGAACAAAGGACGTATGTACCGCTCGACAGTACGCTCCGTCCTCTTCTATGGCTGTGAGACCTGGCCATTGAGAGTGGAAGACATGAAAAGCCTGGCTAGCTGTCTTTGATCATAGGTGCCTGTGTTCTATCTCCCGTGTGAAACGGTATAATAGGGTGAGCAATACTGATGTTTGGCGTCGAGTGCAAAGTCCTATATTGAAACTTGTCAGTCCTATTACTCAGCGATGGACTACTACGTAATGTTTAGTAAATGTGAATACAATTATACAGCTTTCGAAGATGATTTCATAGATAAAGAAAATTTTTCTTTGTTAAATTTTCTTTTTACGAGTTGATCACGGATTGATATCAGTTAGAGAATCATTGAAAACCAGGGAGTACTGGACAGCTACTGTTTCATCCTAGTTCGGGAAACATTGGCAGTACGCACCCACTGGGATTCGAACCCAGGACCTTCCGGTTACAAGGCAAGCTGGCTCGTATACCCTTCAGCCGCCGCGACCCGATTCAATGGCTCATGAATTCTAACTTCTACCAATTCGTGATTTAGCGCGACCCCAGTGGGTGCGTACTGCCGATGATTCCCGAACTAGGATGAAACAGCAGCTGTCCAGTACTCCATTGTTTTCAATGGTTCTCTAACTGATATCAATCCGTGATCAACTCGTAAAAACATAACAAACCCTTTGCAAACCAAACTATAGTTAATTGCCTTTTATTTTCTTCATGAATTAAAGAATTTATCAAAATACTAAAAGCGAATACTGTTGCACTCATTCTATGCACATACAATAACATCTCAATAGTAAGGCATGGTTGAATTGTATCTTTTATTTCAAACTATCTGCACTAATCACTTGCTTGTAAATGTATGTATTGGTAGGTGGCAAATCTGGGATTTATCTGAAGCCTGTCTAACAATACACCAACTTATTGTGTATTTGTGTATCTACAAATTACATATACGAAAAGTTTGCTAATTACTAATGACGAATTTTGTTATGGCTTCTGTTTATGAATTCCACTTCAACACCTCATTCATACTAACCATGTTTTTGTATGCACATTTTGTACTATCGTAGATAGGTTGCACCATGCAGATGTCTTCTATGAATCTGTTACATGGTTTTTACGTAACATAGTCAATGTCCAATGTGTAGCGCAGAATTCAAATTGACCGCTTGTTTAAGTAAACTGCTAGGCAAAGTTAAACTTTAAGCACCACTAATTACCAACGGGTGAATGACCTCGAACGCATCAATCACGTGAAGGAGGCATTTTTGTGTATGGATACATGTATTTATGAAAAAAAATACATAAAAGCTTCCATTATGGGTAAATTTTTATTTTGATAGAGTCTCACAGTGTTATACAGTAGTATTTACTGATGACGTTTCGAGCACAATTTATTGCTCATAATCATATCAAGGTAATCACACAACTTCCTAAATTCATTTATATAGTTCCATTGTTTTTCACTTGATTTTCACTTGATTTGATTGGTAGTATTATTTTCCATATTTCAGGTATCAGTGATGACTCATTCCTATTGCATGTGTTGGGTGTAGATTCGATGAACAAAGATTCAGTAATCAACCTCTCTCTCCACCTACCTAGATTACTTTTTATAATTTTAACCCTCTCCCACCCTATTGTGTGGTTGTGTGCTAATGCATGCATTGCAATTGCCGAGCTTTTTTCTAAATTACTTATCTTCTCTGGGTCAACCATTCTTACCTTAGCTAAATTCTTATGTTCTGACAATCTGACTACCCCTGACCTACTAGTTTGACCTATGTAGTTGACCTAACTCACAGTTATTGCAGGGTATTTTGTAAATTTACAAAATCTACGGGTAGGTGGAGAGAGAGGTTGATTACTGAATCTTTGTTCATCGAATCTACACCCAACACATGCAATAGGAATGAGTCATCACTGATACCTGAAATATGGAAAATAATACTACCAATCAAATCAAGTGAAAATCAAGTGAAAAACAATGGAACTATATAAATGAATTTAGGAAGTTGTGTGATTACCTTGATATGATTATGAGCAATAAATTGTGCTCGAAACGTCATCAGTAAATACTACTGTATAACGCTGTGAGACTCTATCAAAATAAAAATTGACCCATATTGGAATTACACTCTACCACAGTGCCCAAGTTTTATTCTTATATCAATATACACAAAAGCTGTATATAAAAGTGTTACAGAGGATACCTTGCTCTCACATGTGATAAAAGTAACTCTCAGTTTTGGGTTGGTGTATCAATAGAGTATAATTCGTTTGTGGGTAAACTTTATTTTGATAAAGTTTCAAAACACTAGTGTTATATAGTGATATTTACTGAGTAATAAATTGTACTGGAAACGTTGTCATCAGTAAATGTTACTGTATAAAACTGTGAGAATTTATCAAACAATGGAATTATACTCTACCGCCACAGTGCACAAGTTCTATTCTTATATCAACAGAGTAATTTAACCACATTCTATACATGTAATTATTTAGGTCTTCTAAACCTAATAGTAACCTTAATCTTTCCTGAAACTAACCCTAACGTGAAAATATCACTAAAATAATTGTAATCTTTAACTCAAACCAACCCTTATTAGGTTAACCCAACCCTAACTTGTCCTCGGCCTAAAAGGTAACTTAATCTTTCCCAAACATAAGCTGAAACTTACCACTTCGATGAGCATATTTTATTGATGATGACAACATTATTTCCCAGGTTTCACTCAATTGCTCAGTGGGAGTTTCAAGGTCATTGGTGTGTTCGCACTCCATTGGTGGTAGTTAGTGGTGCTTAAAGTTTAACTTGACTAACTGCTACAAATTTGTTTTCGTGTATTATATAAATAACTTCTCAATGATTATTATTATTATTAATTTACTTACCATTAAAGAACTTTAGAATATCTGTAAATTCCATATGATTAGCACTGATCACATCTCTATAATTTTGAATTAGCGCTAAAGCTATGAAAAGACTGAAATCCTTAGAAATTAAATGTTCTGCGCATAAAATCACCTCCCATATTCGAAAGACATCTTGATATTTAAATTCTGAAAAAAAAGAGTAATAAAACAAATTTTAGTTTGTTTCATTAACTGAACTTACTTAAGGGTAGGTAATGTGACTTTTGAAACCGGTGACACCAGTAATGAAACCAGAATCAGCGAGACGACCGTCCGGCATTAGGATCACTTCACTCTGGCTTCAGTCTAGCAAGCACTGCTGGATGATATGACTGTTATATACAACTAACTAACTACTCATCGCAACCAATCAGTAGTATATAGTTCCACGCTATAGTAATTTTATGCCCTGTAACTAGACTCATTGTGTCTTCAGAATTTGATTTTAGACTAAATCTGATTATTTTTACGGCGAAGTACAAGAATAGAGTCCCAGGATTGTAAATGTTCCAATGACCCTGAACGCATGCTAGTCATTGGTTGAGGAAGCTTACCATTATTCTAGCGCGAATAAGTGTGCGTACTGGTAAGTGACACTGAATTAATTGTCTTCTAGGAACTTTCTTTGAAAAGTCGAAACTGTCTTTGATGAATATCTTGTTTCTGTCCAATTACTGGGTGCCAGAGCGAATAACGTTTGGGTTTTAGGAATTTATGACACCTAGATTCGCAAAGGGTTTATCGAGCTGATTCTAGATAGGAGTGCTGATACACTCCTCCCTATTATTCAGCGTCTCGTCTTACCAGGCACCACCATTCACACAGATGAATGGGCGGGATATAACCAATTATCGCAATTGGGATATATACATCATAGAGTGAACCATTCGAATGATTTCGTCGACCCTGTCACTGGTACCCATACTAATTCCATCGAAAGTTTCTGGGGAAGACTGAAAAATAGAATCCGAGCTATCAACGGATCACAAAACGAAGTTATTTTCAGTCATTTGGATGAATATATGTATAGAAATTGGTTTAATTTAAAAACTGAAACTCCTCTTAATAATTGGAACATTTTTTATCTCATATTAGAGAAAAGTACCCTGTTTGACTTTTTTCATGCTTATTTATGTAAAAATACGTAAAATTTTATGCAAAAATCATCCTTTTTTCTGATTGGTCGGCTCAAGGTCGTTTGTGCGTTCGCATTCCTTGGGACTCTATTGTAGAACTTTGCCATTTTTACTTGACAGTAACACTGGTAAGGCAGTTTTATGGCATCTGGACTGTATTTTTTTTGTCTGGTTTCATGTATGCTACACAGCTTTCGAGAATCCATGTCTCAGAACGATGAAACAGGTGACCATTTCAGTAGAAGTCTTCTACCCCATTCCTCTGTAAAGTAAATGATAGTAAATATAATAATTTTATCTTGACCAGTGAAGCAGTCGTGCGATCGTTACTCTCTTAACATGTTGTTTGTGCTGTATAGTTCTTTTCAGATAGCAAAATCTTAGCCAGCCATTTAATTTATTTTATTCCTTTATTTCTTTGCATTTCGAGTGGAACGTAGGGCTTCAGGCTTAGATCTATTAAGTTTCATTAGCAATGGTGTTATTTCTATCTTCGCTCCCGAGATGCAGTTGCCAGCCTTCCCTCTTCCCCAGTCTTAATGTAACAACAGAAGACAAGGGCCAGGCAACAGATCGTTTATTAAAGAAATCAACACATATTTATAGCCTTTCATGTACATTATTATAGATTATTGTTAGCAGATTGGTTGTTTCTCACTGAAAGTAAATCTTTCATCTCTTTGTGACTGTTTCTTGAATGTCAGATCATCTATCTGCTGACTGTATCCGCCTACGGAAAGTCTTTGTTCTCATTTTTCTCACAACCAATATTGGGGACATAAACATTGACGTCAATTGCTGTCTAACAATGTGGTTAGCAGCCAGCTCTCACATTAATACCGGATAAGTGAGGTCTGGGAGTGGGTTATCCAGTGGATTAGGACATTAGACCAGCTGAGTGGTTAGCCAGCATCCTTTCTCATGAATCATCGACCCACCTAACTAGTCAACTGTATACAAATTTTCAATCCTAGTGAATAATATTCAAAAAGATGTCAAGCTCAAGAAATAATCAATTGAATCCATTTTTATTGTACTATGTCGCTTCATACAAACATTCCAAGTGAATGACAACAGCAAAGCAAAGTGATTGATGGTTGTCTAAATCACGGTATGAGGTTATGATCGATTTCACAGATAAGACTGGTAGTAACAGAAGAATAGTTAGTCTAATTCATGTTAGAACAAAGTTGACTTCGTTGGCTGTTGAATCAGGTCCCAATGGTTGAATGGTCTACGAGTTCGCCTTGCAACCGAAAAGTCCTGGATTCGAACCCCGGTAGGCAAGTACTACTGAAGTGTTCAAAACTAAAGCTAAATCGCTCTCTTTAACCCTAAATGATATCAATATGCCTAGACCTAGAATATGCAGACGATATAGTCCTTCTAGGCGAGGACGCTGACAAAATGCAGAGTCTTCTGAACACCTTGAGCTGCAGTCTACGAATGTTTGGCATGCGATTCGCTCCCGCCAAATGCAAGATGATGTTACAGGATTGGACTACACTGACTCCTAGATTAGAAATAAGAAGTGAAGTGGTAGAGCACGTTGACCGCTTCACTTACTTGGGAAGTACCATCAGCCAGCACAAACGGTTTGATCTCTGACGAAATCTCAACACGAATACAGAGGGCTAGTTTCTCATATGCCAGTTTACGCCGTCTCTGGAGTAGACGTGATGTCCGACTATCAACCGAAGGGCGTGTGTACTGCTCAACAGTCCGCTCCGTCCTCCTTTATGGCTGTGAGACCTGGCCATTGAGAGTGGAAGACATGAAAAGCCTAGCTAGCTGTCTTTGATCATAGGTATCTGCGTTCTATCTCCCGTGTGTAGTGGTATAATAAGGTGAGCAATATTGAGGTTAGGCGTCGAGTGCTAGGTAAGGAGGGGAAATCAATTGACGAGGCTGTGAAGCTACATCGACTGAGATGTTTAGGACATGTGTTACGCATGCCTAGCCTGGCCATCGCCTTCCTCGACCGACAGGCAATGTTAGCTGATATAGGGTCAGACTGGAAAAGAGCTAGTGGTGGTCAAACCGAAACATGGCACCAGTCAATGAAATCTACAACAGTTAGTCTAAGCCACGTAGGAAGGTGTAGACTTCCTGGTTGGGGTCTTCGGGACGGTAAAAACCAATGGTTGGAAACAATTGGTCACATGGCTCAAAATCGTTCTCAATGAATAGCGCAGATGCATCCACTCCTTGTGACTTATGATTTTCAATGAAACTGTTTTGTTCTTCGTTATTACTATTCCTTTGTCTCACACCTCAACTTACTGTCTCTATTATGCATTTCTTCTACTTTCTTCTCTTGCTTTGTGTGCTACATGGAGTGTGGCGACTTGAACTGCCGCACATAAGTGCAAAGTTCTATGTCGAAAACAGACCGACAGACAAATGATATGAATCCATGATCAATTTTGAAATATATCAAATCCCGATAAACCAACTCTTGGTAATTTCCAAAATTGAAAATGGATGGGTAATTCGACCAGTTAAACTTACCTCGTTTAAAATCTAATAGAAACCATCGATAACAAAAGTAGAAGTGTGTAAAATCACTGAATTTTTGTAGATGACTTATCAATTGTGGATCTAAAATCTGAAATCGAAATGCAAAACACTCAATTTAGTTATATGCATATATGGTAGTTTCATCTTGAAAATGTATAGTAACTGTTAAATACACCTAGTTTTTCCAAAATTTCACAATTCTTTCTACATTAGGGTGAGAGAGTAGTTTGCAACCCTTCAGCAGTACGAACCCACCGGGGTTCTAACCCAGGACCTTCTGGTTACAAGGCGATCTCGTAGACCATTGAGCCACTGGGACCCGATCCAGTGGCCCATGAATTCTAATTTCTGCCAATTCACGATGTAGGGCGATTGAATTCTATCAGTCAGGTTTGCAATATGGCCACCATTCTAGGTAGATCACCATCACAGTGCACATTGATTTGATGATATATTAGATAGTAGGAGGCAATCTTCAGGAAGCCTGGCTTGACCTAGGTTTCGCGCTAGTTGGCACTCACCAGTCAGCGAGGCGTATCTGCAACCAACTGCCTTGACGGAACTCATGTTACTTCTGAGATTCCAACCCGCCTCACTCAGTGTTGCAGTCAGAGACGTTACCACTGAGCTTTTCAAGCTCGTGATTGACCTCCTGTAGGACTATAGTGGATATTTTGATTGGAGACTATTAACTAGTGTGACGTGTCCGGTCCTTTCTTTATTGCAGGCTGAATTCTCATCACTTATGACCTCTAAACCCTTTTTCGTTGTTAACTGTTTTTAGATTATCAAGTGAAGGCCACTTAAATCAAGGTCATTCAAGCCTATTCATATGGAATCGCCGTCAAGTTTTTCTCCCTCTTGATCTAATATGGTAAAAGCGCTCTATTTATCGGTCTGTCTTCTTCTTCCTTTTGCCTTGGCGTCACGCGTCATTGGTGTCATCCTGTGATGGTTGTCTTTGCAAATAGTGATTAGATCAGTAGTAGGCTAGTAAATCTACAAGTTAAGAAGTTTGTTGGTTCAAAGAGGGATTAAACATAACGATCCTACACTAACTATATCAGATGTTCAACTCCAGTCATAGCGGAAGGCATAGATGAAAACCATCACCCTGTTCTAGTTGAAAAAGCCGTGGGAGCATTCCTGTTAGAAGTGTATTTATAGAATATCATGTTCATGCCTTAACACAACCTCCCACTTCAAAGTTATCTAGTAGACGAAGAATATCCCACTAAAACCAATGCAAGTCAGATTTATATGAGTATTACTAAAGCTTAAGCCATCGATATAGAAAACCTGGAGTTTTGTATATTGCAGCAGAAGCTTTCTCAACTCCTTATCGGTCTAGGTTAGAGATCAGTGTTACTCGCTTATAACACTGGCTAGTGGTTGCGCTATAAATATCGTGAGTTGGAAGAAGTCGAAGTTCATGGACCTTCGGACTGGATCCCAGTGGTTAGATGGTCTCCTTATAAACTGAAGACTCTGGGTTCGAACTTCAGTGAGTGCGTACTGTGAAGAGTCGCAAACTAGGACGAAACAGCTTCCAGTGATTCTTAAACTGGCGTCAACTCGTGATCGAACCTGCAACTTATCCCATTTAGTCTTATTACGCAACTTCTGATCTATAATTATTTACTTTTATTATAACTTAATTATAAAACCATTGGACACAATCATAAAGCGAATTGTAATATAATTCCATTCGCATAGATGTAGTGAGGGAATTCGCTGAAAATAGTTTCTTTGCTGAATGAAGAGGAGATTTTCTATGCAGGTGCGGGGTCGCGGACAGGCAGAGTATATGTAGTGACAGAGGATGGAGGCCATAGCATGTATATGGACTGAATGACGGCCATTATGGGTCATAAGACCTTGGTGAATCTAATTGGACAGTCGTAAGGGCATACGCTGTCCGCCAAGGTATATGAGCAAGCGAGGTTGTGTGAATCGTGGATTGGAGGCGGGATCTCGTTTCCACGAGATATGTTAGGATGTCTCCGATATCAATGCGCAAGAGTCCTAATAAAATGTTCCTGATTTCATAGCCTCGGTGAGATGCCAAGGGATATGATCTGCTTCGGTAATTAAAATAAAGAAGAAAATCCGGACAGAGAGTGGAGTAGGTGCTGTTCACAGTGACTGACTCTGCTTGCATTGAAATATGCTCCATCCCTCTCCCGACCCTAATACTGTCAACAGTTTAGGGCTTGTTATGAAACGACACGGGTGAAGACACAATTAGAATCTAAATACACTTCAGGGATTTCCTTGATGCCTGTTTATTGGATCCTGCTATTCCTGGAAACGTTGTATAGAATATAACTCGGGTAATGTTTTATGTATTTACTTCCTAAAGTCCCCCAGAAAAAAAAGCAGTATAGAAGAGAATACCATAAATATCACGTCGGTATTTACATGAAATCCAAAATATTTAGGTTGCTGAGTTGTTTTCAAAATGGAGAGGAACTAGGATTTTTGTAGTTTCTTCTCCTATTGAAATGACGGTTGTTTTTTTTAACAACCTACTGTGTATTTTCAAGTGTTAGTCTCTAGGGATTTGATCTGTTTCATGTTTGACTGTGGACTGATTTCACTTTGGAAACCAGTGAAAACCAGGGAGTGCTGAACAGATATTTCGTCCTAGTGTGGGACTCTTCATTACTACTCAACGACGACTCTACCGGGGGTTGGACCAAGAACTATCAGGTTGTGAGGCCGAGCTGGATAGCCATTCAGCCACTTGGGGCATAATCCAATAAGCTATGAATTCTAGCTTCTGTCAGTTAGCTCTAGTGGCAAGCAGTGTTGTCGGTGAGCATTTGTCCTCATACCCCAACATTCTACTATTAATATTATTTTTTAATTCCTTCAACTGACCGAGAATATTTCGAGACTTGTTACACTAGAGACTCGACCTTTTTTGTTTTTATTCCTTCATGTTCCTAGTGGGACATAGGGCTTCAAGCGAGAGAGGTTTGAAGTTTCGGTGGCAGTGGTGATTATTTTTCCGAGATGGGGTTGCTAGCACATCATGCCCAACCTTCCCATTTTACCAGTCTTATTACTGGCCTAGCGAAGTGTAAAGGAGTGCGTCAGTGGCCGGGGATCGAACCCCGAACCATATTTGTGGTCGGCGAGCATTCTACAGCTGCGCCACCAACCCTGCAGTCCAGTCAAATACACTTGAGATGATTGGAAACATTGTGAAGGAAGTTCTGGGCCTAAGTTTCGTGTATTTTTGGTACTCTTCAGCAAGGCCTGTCTACGACCTCAACGGAAATAATGTCCTTTTGTCAATTATTGAGACAGTCTTGGCTGATCTCCTGTAGGAGTGCAATAGGCACCCTGATTGGTTATCGGGGTGCTACTAATCACTTCCGTCGTTCATTTTATCTCTTCGTTTTAATTTAGATGGATGATATTATAGGTTTGAGAACTGACTATCACAAAGTATGAAGGCTGTATCAACATGAAATAATGAAGCATACAGGAGCAGATCTGTTGAGATGATCTTACTCTAATTAACAGAAGCAAAATGCTCGAAAAACAGACCAACTCAAACAAAGACGAAGGAGTTCAATTCAATTTTAGATTTTTCCCGTCGATTGATTGTACCGAAGTTCTCGGTCTCAGGTTAATATGTCGGCTTCTTGTGAAGATGTTTCGTTGATGTCTAGGCATGTAATTAGAAGTTACTTGGTGGATGGTGGCTAGCAGTGGATTCCAGGATGCGCATTTCGTCCTATTTGGGACTAGTCAGCTGGATGTGACTGCATTCCGCTGTGAGTGTTGATATTCCCACTGAGGCTTGAGCCCAGTGCCCATAGTTTCAAACGCCAAAGCATTATCTTCTAGACCACTTGGGCCACGAGACCCACCGAGCACTTCGGTCCAATCACTCGACGGGAAAATCTAAAATTCAATTAAATAATTAACATAACCCGTTGCACAAGGGGTGGCCCTCGTAGCCCAAGTGGTCTAGTGGATAATGCTTTGGCGTTTGAAACTATGGACACTGGGTTTGAGCCTCGGTGGGAACATCATCACTCACTGACTGGGGAATGCAGGTATATCCAAATGATGAGTCCCAAATAAGACGAAATGCGCGTTATCCTGGATTCCACTGCTAGCCACCATCCACCAAGTATCTTCTAAAGAGGAAGTAGATTTGTAGTTAATACCATAGAAGTACACCTGTGAAATGAGGATAATCGTATAGCGTTAGCGAACAAAACTGAACTACAAAATCTGATCATTGAATGACGGATTTGATTTGTTGCTTATTTCTATAAGTTTCTGAACAGAAACAGACAAAATTATCCTAGTAAAGTCAATCTATCTTATTTTATGTATTCTGATGAGAATGAAACGCGTAATCCATCATTTCAGTTTAATCTTCATCATGTATGTAACGAATGGTGATTAGAGTTTGGCAGATTCGAACTTTTACCAAAATCTGCCAAATTCAGAAATACCAGGTTAATGTTTGATCTTTCGTGTCGAGGTTCAAAAAACCTTTTGACACTGCCAGAATTATTACTATGAATCTTTGGGTTAGATTTAAGCCAGTCTATTTATATTTTGTGAACAGTGATTGTAATTTTGTAGTGAACATAGGCCATGCTATGTGAAACAATAATCTCTTATAATGAACTCCAGGTTCACTCGTCAACGAGTTGAAGTGGTCCCTAAATCCTAACACTCGAGTAAATCTGTTCGCTGTCAAGCTATATAGACACAAAAACATTTTAAAACTGTTTCTCTTAATAATATGGTACTCCCTGCGGGTTCTCCAATGGTTCTATAACCGATGTCAGCTTACGACGACATCCTCTAACCAATCAATCAAATCCCTGCAAACTAATACTTGAATATCAATGAGATGCACACTAGCGACTGGCTCTATTCAGGTGTGTAGTTACCTGGGATTCTGGTAGGAAGTCGTGGCCACTGCGGTACACTAGGTCGGGAGTGACGACAAATACTCTCCGAAGATATTGGCTAGTGGTCGTGCAATGTCGTGAATTGGCAGAAGTTGGAATTATTGGGCTGGCCATTGGTCTACTAGCTAGCTCGCCTTGTAACCAGAAGGTCCTGGGTTCGAACCCCGGCAGTGGCGTACTACTGAAGAATCCCATACTATGACGAAACAGCTGTCCATTACTCCCTCCAGTTCTTCCAATAATTCTCTAACACAGTCAGCTTATGATAAAATCCTGTAATCAATATTATATAGTATTACTTACCTGTATCAAGGATTTGATATGATCAAATTTCTCATCCATATACAATGTAGCTGTATCCCTAGAGAATAACTTTTTCATACGATTATTCATAATTTGTTTAAACAGAACATAAGTACCAACTTCAATTTCGTTTGAAATTTCATTCCTTTTTTTCTTCTTTTCACATTCTTTATTTGACAGTATCTCATTTTTTTCCTCTTCTTCTGTTGTTTTTGTTGTTTTTGAAATTGTGCTACTTAAATGCATTTCAGTAGCTTGAGATTGTGATGAAGAATAGCTGCTTGACTTTAATACTAATAATGGCGCAACAATATCACACATTCCTTGGGTATATTCATCATCAAGAAATTCCCATACATATGTTAACAGAATCCGTTGAATTGTCGCCAAATTTCTTTCACCATGTGAATCTTTAAAAAACAAAGCGGGGGGGGATGGGTTAGGGAAACAGAAGTGGTCACAATGAATATTCTTAACCATGACACTGTTCATCGCAACATACGGATGAGCTATGCTTGATGACACATTAAGACTAACACAGAATAAATGGCTGCAATCTTCACAGACACGTGAGCATTTTGAAATTAGCAATTTGAAAGTTAATTGGGAATCATAGATTTATGCGATTCGAGAAGGTGAAATATCGCCACAGTTTCTTTTGGAAACCGAAATTACTCAGATGACAGACAATCTATGGTCTGCTAGATAACATAAATAATAATAATAATGATAAATCTACTTTAGAACAACACATTTAAGTGAACAATATTGTTTGTGATTAGATCTCATCAGGGTTAACTCTAATATATATAAGTTTACAAATAAAAATTCAAATATAAACCAATCATGGTGTTTTGTCTATAGGAAAATAAGATGGTGAATATAAATTGTGCAATTAGTCATAATAGTAGTAATGATAATAATAATAATAGTAATAATAAAAATGGTCTTCTCAATAATAAGGATGAAAAAATGATGCAATCTGTGATAACACGAATAATGAAAAACAGCATGATTAAACAAACAACTGTTCAGGTGGAAGTAGTCGATAAAGGCTAGTAAAAACAAATGAACCGATTAAGTAATGTTAGATTGTAAGGGAAGGAAATGAAACACGTTTATAATGAAAATAAGATTAAGGGATGATAAGAAAGGGGTTGAAAATATAAGTAAGGGGTGGTGTAGAAGTCATTAGCTGGTTATGTCTTAATAGGCCAAGGGAGGGATTACGGCTGTACGAACTTTTTTGAATACATAATTTTGGTTTAATAGTTCGAATGCGTATCGCCTCAGCTGTGTGTAGTAGACGAATACGAAGTCTATTGGAAAGATTCGGTGGGATACGATGAATCACTTTGAAGGCTCTCGTTTTCTCGATTACATGACCACTATCAATTAAGTGTGACAAAATTGAGCTACGGATTGTTTTTGTCTGTCATTTGCCAAACCAGCACGATGGGAGATGTTCACTAACACGTTGGCTAAGCTGTCTAGTAGTATGCCCAACATAACTGTCACCGCAGGTGCAGTTGAATTGATAAATGCACATGGATGTGGCTAAACTATCAAGCTTATACTTCGTTTGTGTCCCAATCATTCGTCGGCTAGAGAATGACAAACATAGGTGTGCTGCATAAAATGTTCTTCGTATACTCCTGGAAAGTCTCTGCAATAGAATCTCACTTGATAAGTCACCATTAAATTGTAACTTAATAAATAGAGGTTTCTTACGTGCCGTCAGAGTCTCCGGTTTTTTCTCCGATGTTTTCATATATTTCTCCATCAAGGAATCGTGAATTTATTCAAATTCCCTTTGAAAGAGGTCATCCGTACATATCTTTCTTGCTCTGCTCGCAAGACATTTTACAACATTCCTTTTATATTTAATGGGTACGTAACTAAGGAAGTGTGTGTATTGCCCTGTGAAAGTGCTTTTTCTATACACGCTTCTCCCAGATGACCCATCTTCTCTCTTACTTAGCAAGACATTCAGAAAACGTAGTTTATTGTCCTGCTCCTCTTCACAAGTAAAGGTAAGCGAAGGGTAGATGTTGTTGAATTTCATCAACAATTCGTCTATATTAACATTCTCATCACCTAAGATAAATGTATCATCGACATATCGGTAATACATATCAAACTGCTTGATGATGTTCTTCAATTTCCCGTTTTAAAGCTTTGCGAGAAAGAAGTCAGCAAACATTGGGCCTAATTGTGAACCCATAGCTATTCCCAACTACTTGTCGACAGTATGAATTATTGAAGACGAAGTGAACATTCACTGTGCATTTAAGAAGTAATTCTTTGAGGCTATACAAGGGGATCTACTTTTTTCCAAAAACAGTACATATAATACAGAATGGAATTTTCAGTATTTGTCACAGTATTGCATCTGATTTATTTAAAATATAAATAAAATTAAAAATTTAAACAAAATTAACCAGAGGAATTTGCCCACGTTTACGATAGAAAGTCAAAAATATTCGAAGCACGAATTGAGAATATTTAATATAATAATAATAATAACAGTGAGTTTGTTTCAAACAGTATTGTCGATTCATTCTGGAAATTTTAGCATGTTATAGATTATTGAATCTAATGTTCTATTGATATAGTATAGTGAGGGGAAAGGCAAAATTAGCATTTATAACACAGCTTAAATGATGTTCACACTTACGAAAAAAGTAAACAAAGACAAAACCTGAGAGGATTATAAATATAAGAAGTACAATAACAATAAAGCTTAATGTTATAAGGGTGGAGAAAATGGTTTATTTAGTAGTGCAAAGAAGGTTAGTTAGTTCATTTCTGACACTATTTTCATCACATAAAATACGTGCCAGAATATGGTATAGTGGAATTTTTATACTTAGACAGACGTACGTGCATAAAGTCTTCTGAAAAGACTTCTTGTTTTACCTGAGGAGACGCAAGGTTGGAGCTGCGGGTGCTACGATGGATGCTCACAGTTTGAAAAATTTCTTTAGCAAATTTGTTGCATGACATCAAGTGCCTATCAATGACAATGTCAACGATATGACCCAATGGGATACCACTCGCCTTACTGGCAGTCTTCAGAGTTCTACGAAGTATGACATAGTCTTTTTTAAGCAATCCAGGAAAGAATAAGGGTGAACAGTAAAGAAGAATAGGTAAGATGCACGAGTAATCAAATAATCAAGCATAACTGCATGAAACTGTAATAAGACTGGTCGATTGAGATGAGTTGGTGTATACCACCGATATCACCGGAGGGTGGTTTAGCTCGTTTCGGTCTAACTCAGCTGACGGAGTCGAATGAGTTTAAGCCATCCGATCTCTGGCTGGCTATCTGAGCGAACTTGTGGCATCATAGATCAACGTGAACATGTTACTGAGATTAATCCCCCAGAATAAACCTGATTCGAAAAATTGTGCGGGGAGGCACTTTTTAAGAAACGTCATACACTTATTCAGCCTCATAAATTTAAATAAAGCAAGGAACAGCAGTTTGTGTATAATAAGATGATACAACCACTTATTTCATCGGCTTCTCATCAACTGCTACCAGCCTAAAGTATTTGCTAAGCTTGTGTACAGAACGATTTTAAGATATTTGCAAATTTCACATGATTATCAGTTGACAGGAGGCTTCGAATTTAATAAACAATGCTTATGTGGTGAGAGCTGTCTGCAAGCCGAAATTGCATGCAACAATTTACGTCAATGTTTACTTCCCGAATTGGGGTCAGGAGAGAAAACAAGAACAAAGCCTAACCTTGAGGAACTCAACAACCAGTCACAGCGGACTTAGAGTGGGCGGATACGATTCGCAGATATATGACCGGACCGTCTAATAAACTGCAACAAAGAGATGACAGAATAACCTTCGGGAGGAAAACAACCAATCAGAAGACGTTACTTCGCTGCTAACAATAACGAATAATGGTGTACATAAAAATCTATAAATGTCGATTGACTTTCTCAATAAACGGTCTGTAGCGTGACCCTTTTCTTCTCTTGTTACACTCATAGCCAGAAATTTGAAGTTTATACCAAAAAATGAAATCATGGATACAATGGTGAGGGAGCTACGTATTAAAGATGATGAGTAAACAATATGTTGAGTTGAACTCACAACATTCCAACTCCATTTAATATTTAGTCATCATCTTACTCCATAGAACCATAAAAAAAAACTAAGACTAGCAATAAAACTGACGAAAATAATATTAAAATTCAAAGCCTCTGTACCACTGCCGTATAAAGAAGGTGTGTCAGAGGCCGTACGTACGATTCTCACTGACGCTGGAATCAGGGTGGCGCATTTAAACCGACCGACCAACCAACCAACGAACTCTCTCAGGGATAAACTTTACCGGCTTAAGCACCCAATAAATCCAATTAGGAAAAATAATATAACTTACCAAATACCATGTAATGACTGTGAGGTCAATTACATAGGTAAAACTAGTAGATCAGGATCAATGGAAGCATCCTTAACTGAACTTAACGACTTAGGAATCGACTTGTTACCAGGAAATAGTCTTATGGACTTAGAATGTGCAGATGACACAGTCCTGTTTGGGGAGAATGCTGACAAAGTGAAGAGTTTTCTGAACACCTTGAGCAGCAATCTTCATATGTTTGGCATGCGATTCGCACCTGTAAAATGTAAGATGCTCCTACAGGAATGACTGGACTACGTCAACTCCTAGCTTAGTTTAGTGATAGGGAGTGAAGTGATAGGACATGTTGACCACTTCACCTATTTGGGAAGTTTTATCAGCACCAACGGATTGATTGGTGACGAAATCTCAGCACGGATCCAAAAACCTCGAGCTGCTTTCACTAACTTACACCGTCTCTGGCGTAGGCGTGACATCCGATTATCAACCAAGGGACGTGTGTACTCCTCAGCTGCAGTTCGCTCCGTCCTTCTCCTCTATGGCTCTGAAACATGGCCAATACGAGTTGAAGACAACATGAAAAGGTTGACTATTTTTGATCATAGATGTCTACGATCTCTTCCTCACGTTAGGTGGCATAAAAATGTAAGTAATGTTGACGTTAGGCGTAGAGTGTTGGGCGAAGAGGCTATAAAGTTACATAGATTGAGATGGCTAGGTCACGTGGTGCGCATGCCTAACCATCGCCTCCCCCGACGGGCATTACTAGCTGATATAGGTAGGTGCAGGTTGGAAAAGAGTAAGTGGTGGCCAAACAAAAACATGGCCTCATCAATCCATGAAATCCCTGACAGTTAAACTGAGTCAGGTAGGGAGATGCAGACTTCCGGGTTGGGGCCCTCAAGACTCTAAGAATCAATGGCTGGAGACAATATAGGTGACATGGCTCAAAATCGTTGTCAATAGCTTACGCAGATGTATTCAGTCTCTGTAATCTTTCATATTCCCTTCTACCATTACTC